GAAACGATTATCATCCATTGTGGTTGGTGGGCCGAGGAAGAAGAAGTAAAAGACTCTAATAGATACATAAAAGTGCAAAAAGATCTGAATATAAATATCTCCGTAATCCATCTCAATTCAATTTTTGTCACATTCAACGTGAAAAGAATGCGAAAAGATTTTTTTACGCCCCATTTTTATCAAGATTATTATTTCAGATTAATCAATAATTTGAAGACAAGATGAGTTAAAAATGATGACGATGAAGATGATACGATTTTCTGTGCAGCTTAATCCGTGCGTCTCATCTTGCCTCCATTATAACATCGTATCTTGGAATGACAGATCAATAATCCTGCACATTTTGTTTGACTGTCATTTGTGCCAATTTTATCTATATAGCAAAAAAAGTGCTAAATTTTTTCGCAGTTATATTTGCAAAACCAATTCACACAGTAAATGTTTAAAAGGAGTTGTTGATACTAAATATGATTTTTATGGTGAAGGAAAGGCATCTAAAAATGTTATAATTATTCTTGAATCAGTCCTGATTAATTTACAATTTAAGTATTAAAACGTTTCATTAAATTCATGATTTTTTTTGTATTCCCAGATGTGTCAAATACTTAATAATCGGATTCACGTCTTAATTTTCAGATTCAATGGAAGATTGATAAATAAATAAATGTAAAAAACGTATGTTTAAGCAGTTTGAGCAGCTCAATCAACCAGAGGTAAGTGTTATTTGGTAGAGGAATCAGTAATAAAAATATCGTCATCATCATCGTCCTCTTTTTAAAGTCTTGTCTAAATGGAAATGGAAATGGAAATTAAAAATGAAGAAGACTTGCCATTCAGATGAAATCAAGTCGTATTCATTCACCTTCTGAGACATCGGACTTGGGCATAATTATTGTCAATTGGTAATCAGGACACAAATCTTGCCGTGTATTTTTCTACGTTTTTGCGTTTGGATGCATCTTCATGATTAAGACGGAAAATAGGGTTTACTATCTGATTTTTTTCCTGGCTACGCAGTTCTGCAGGATGACAAAATTTTCAAAAAAAGTAAGCAAATACGATCAAAATCATGCCTGCTGTTACGCAAGTAAATATGTAAGTTAAAAATTATCTAATCATTTAATTACACAAAATTTTAGTGGAAAAACTGAAAAAACGATTTACTTTATTTGTCAATATTTCGGATATTATTTTGCCATTCATTATCAAGAAATGCGTAGAAAAAAGGATGTTAATTTTTAAAATTATCACTAAATATTTTCAGAAACTTTGTAATTCAGTATGGTTTTACTTAAAAAGTTCGGGATTATTTGCACCATGTAAATGAGTAGCAGCGTCGAAATTACAAACTTTACAAATAATCCTCATTTTCGAAGAGATATACAAATTGTCGAAAATGTAGGACGAACAAAATACCATAATTTTTGCGAAGAACTCGCATTCAATCCAGAAATGATGCAATGCAAGGATATACACAAAAAATTTGACACACTACCAAAAAAATTTCTATTTCTCCAACTCCATAGAAGGACATCAATCCCTAATCTGTATCAAGAAGTCATCCTTCCTTATTATTCAACTCGTAATCCTTTTCACACGAGGAAACTAAATCGCAATAAATAATGCAGCTTATCATATATTTAATAGATTTTATTTATAATGTGGCGAATCGAACGTTAAAATATGATCCTCCATAAGTGCAGATTTATCTAAATAAAAGTGAATCACTTTATCAATTTCATATCGTGTGATGGGTGTGTGTAGGTAGGTAAAAATTTGCAGGTGGGTGGTAAATTAGTTTCGCTTATCGTTCAATTAAAATTTTTTTCGTAAATGGATTTTTTCGATTTAAAATAAAATAAAATATTTAGGGTTTTGATGTGGGTTGGATTTTTGCACCTGTTAGATGGCCCAAAAATGTATTTTAGGAGAGAAATTTATGAAATCGTTGAAAATGATAAAATTTCAAATTTTTCTAAATTTTCTAAATTTGAAATTTTTCTTAATTTTAGAGATAAGATTTTTGCTATATGTAAAAGTGATTTTATTTACTTTCTAGATTGCATAAGAAATGATTAGGTTCCGTATATTTACACAATTTTCCACGTCTGGTTGAAGAGGATGAAGAGAAATACCTTATTTTCATTCCAAGTCAGTAACCACTTTACTTTCATTAGATGCGGAGAAAAATGAAGAGCAGATTAAGTGGATTTCTGCGGTGTGGGAAGATTTCGATCTGAATTCATGATACGAAAATATCTTTTCGGGAGTCGGTCGACTGAAAGTAAAAAGTGCGACTTTGGATTCTCCTGGAGAAAAAAATGCGGAGGAGATTGCGTAATGTTCAGGCAAAAAATATGTATTTTAAACAGTGGCCGCGGAAGCCGTGGGGACATTTGGGGACATTAACATTGTAGGATTGGGGAGGGATGTGTTTATATAAGATGGGGAGATGATGGGGACATCGAACAACCGTGGGGACATTGTCCCTCTGTCCACACGCTTCCGCGGCCACTGGTTCCAAATCGGAGCTTGCAAACTGAATTAATGTGCAAAAAATTTGTGATTTTTATTTTATTTTTTATTTGTGGTTTTACGAAGCCGATAATAATAATTTATAGAAATTGATAATATTTAAAGGTGAAATTAGGTCAGATTGTCTTCTCTCTGGAATTAGATCTGTTATTGTTATTTTGCACTTTATTCTTGAGGATATTTCGCAAACACCGAAAATAGATCACATCACAGTATTGATACTTAATATTGGCACATTCCTTCTCCGGCTGAGCGGTGCTGTGAGAGATTGGCATTTTTGCATAAAAAAGGTTGTATGTATGACTCTTGCTAAAGTATGCAGTTGGCAGATTTGTCCCCCTGGAGGTGGAGGAAATGCTCGGAATGCGAAACGAAAATGGATGGACGTCGACTCCTTCACTTGTCATGTCGGGTTAAAAGGCTTCCTGGATGCAGAAAAATTCCTTCCGGATTTTTTATTTCGTTTGCGTACAAAGTGCGGAGATATGTATAGGGTGGTTAAAAAAGAACTTTATATGTATAAATTTTTTAAATCATTTTTCAACGATTTTCATAAAATCATAAAATTTGAAATCCCAAAGCACGATTTAAACTATTTTTTGGTGAATAAATAATCATCAGAGATTAATAAGAGTTAGTTCAAATATGATTATTAAATTTCAAGCTGAAGAAATCTTATGAAAATTTTCTGAAAATGTTCTGAAAATGTTTTAAGCTTGGAATTAAATTGCGCTAATTTTACAGCAATATTGCCATTATGATTTTCGATTTTACTGTAAATCTTCTTCAAATGTAAATGATTGAAAAACTGCTGCAAAAATTTCTCCACGTAAGTACTTTTCGAACCACCCTGTATTTCAGACAGAATAACGTTGTCACAAGGGTTACATGATCATGAATGATGTGAATGTTATAAAATTAGAGATGACGACATAACAGATAATTCTATGCATTTAGCCTGAAATTTTGAATTTTTCAAGAACTTAATGTGTATTAAATGAAAAATAAAAATATTGTTTGTGTTCTACGCCTTACTGCAAGTTTGAAAGAATATTTAGTTTATTATTAAAAAGTTGTAGATTAATTTTAAATTAATTTGTTTATCTTAAATTCGAATACATTTCACTTAGAATTAATAAAATTTGATAAATCCCTTGTTAACTTATAAATTCAAGTATAAATTTTGACACATTTTGACACTTGCATTAAAAAAATACTTCTTGTCGGTCAATCACGTACATATAAAAGTTGTCCACATACTTGACTTCTTAATAGTTGATGACATATTGATCTGCAGGATTTCTTAGGAATGCAAAGTAATTACATTGCAAGTCCTGCTCGTCTAATTTCTTTCCTGTCATCAAGTCAAGTCAAGTCAAAGTTTGACATTTTATTTGATACGTGATTTCTGATTGGATTGGATTCTCCACTTTCTAAAATGTTTGGTAGATGCATAAGTACACGCAGTTAATCAAAGGCACAATTTTACTAGGTTAATGGTTCCTGAGATGAAATGGAAATTAATGGTTTTTAGCAAATTTATCGTATATTTCTGCAATAAAGTTTTGTTCAAGAGCACATTCCTTAGTTAACTATTACCCTTGTTCAATAAAAGTGGAAAATTGGAAATGTTTAGACTTTTTTACTATAAATTTTAATAGATCAGCAGATCTCAAAGGATCACTTGTAGGAATTTCGTATTTAATAAGAGACATTATGTACCTGATGCTTTTACATGTGTAAAAGAAGTTTAGATAAAAGGAATGCAGCAGGATTTATGTTTGAATAAGTGATAATTCTGTCAAGGAATGATTTGCGTTAAATATAAAATATTATAGTTATTTAATACTGGTAAATATGGATGTTACCGACTTTATCTCGTGTCGAAAATTATGTTGATGAGTTATTGTTATTGTGACAGGAAATGAAGGGAAATATACTGTCAATAATTTTACATTGAAAAAATTGTTAAATAGTTTGAAAATGTGTGAGAATGGCGACGATTATGGAATTTACGAAAGATCGTGTTTCTAACTTGACAAACAGGTTTGTATGCAAAGTATGGACAAGAAGGTAAAAAAAGATAAACCAATGTCGAATCGACATTGTCGATATTTAGTAATAATTAGTATACTGGACAAGTTAACGTAATTTAATTATTGACATGTTAAAATACTTGATTAATTTTTCATTAAAATAAAATACTTCAATAATTATTTAATTGAATTCGCATGTATCTTCAAGCTTCAGAGTGAAGAAGATGAAATATTCAAATTTTGCTTGGTGCAAATATTTTTACAAGGCAAAAAATTATGTAGCAAAAAAAACGAAGTTTGCAAGTTCTGTGAAGAAAATTGCAACCATGATGTTTTTGCGAAAAAAAATAATTTTCTCTTTGTTGAAGCGGGTAAAGATTTGGCTTCCTGTCAGTTTCTGTTTCTCTTCTTATTCTTCGCTCCATTTTTTACCCTGTTATTTTGTTTACTACGTCTTATTTTAATTGTGATTTGCTTGTTAATTAGTAATTAATTTTAAATGCGGTTAGTTTAATTGGCATTGGTTCACTTGTCAATTAATTTTTCTGGGTTTATCAATTATTAAGTTGTTTTGTAGCTTTCCGTTTTTTTTTATTTGAAGAATTTGCAAAAGTGTATTTTGATTAATTTTGACCTGTGACCTGAGAGTTTTATCGAGATACTTTAATTAAATTAAAAGTAAGGTTATAACTTTAATTAATAAATACAAGACCCCATAGACGGATTAAAATAGGATAATCTGTAATTTTATTCCTTATTGCAGGTCAAATAAGAGAAAATTAGTGCCGAAAATGGTTTCGACGACGCCCTCATTCCAGGATTTCGAAGACTTCCAGTACCTTCAAAACTATGAAGATTTTACCTGCCAAGACGATGACGATTTGAGCAATTTAGCCAATGACATGAATGTTATCAACGCCTTTTTCGACGGCGCCAGTTCGGGATCAAGTTCTTATAAGGAGGATGAATTCAACGCTTTCGATACAACAAGGACGACGGAAAACACAGTGTCGCGTGAGGGGGACATGATTGTTAAAGCGTTAGCCCTTGCAGGCGAGGAATTAAAAAAAACTTTACAATACTATGTAACGTTTATTTTCATTTCTTGTTGTTTTCTAGACGCGAGAAAATGCGACGAATGCCATTATCCCTTCTCAGAAGGGAACAGTCCTGAAATCTATAGTGGATGTGGTCACATGGTCTGCAGATCTTGCTATGTTTGGTGTTACGACTTCAATAAGGGCGGATGCAGTCAGTGCCCTCCTAAGCAGAACCTTACTCGCAGCCATGTTAATGACGTCCACATGGCGAAAATGGGAGCGGCGACGGCGCCAACAGAGGCTCAAATTCCTTCTAAAAAGAAGAAAGGTATGGACAAAATGAAAACACTATTGTTGATTTGCTTTAATGTCAGTTATATCCAGAAGTAGGAGGGAAACTCGCATCTCGACTGGATTTTTCAGCTCTTGTAGAAGATAAAGCACGCGGGTTCAAATCTCAGTAGAGGCTAGTTTACATTTTTGCAAGCCAGTTTTGACTAAAATGCTTTTAACTTTGCCATAAGAGGTCAAGTTCTACTAGTAGGATATTCAAACCGCACCGACAGCGTGTGGGGGTGTGGTCAGTATGAAAAAATGATGATATTGACCACTCCCCAATATCTTCCCGGGGGTGGTCCGGCTATGTTGCTAGTAGAACTTTACCCCCTATACAACGGTATAACATTGTGGTCAAAACTAGGTTGCAAAAAGTAAATTTATCTGTACCGTGCTGCGGTTTGAACCTGGAATACTTGCAGTCAAGCCGAGCCGATGTCCCCTACGCCAGTGTGTTTGACCCGAGTTGCAGCGCAAGCTTTATCTTCTACAAGAGCTGAAAAATCCAGTCGAGATGCGAGTTTTCCTCGTACTTCTGGATATAACTGACATTAAAAACTAATGACCATTATTTTTCTTTTTAGTGGAGACCGTGGAAATTTCAAGGGAACATAACGAAGCCGGCAAAAAGTTTGAAGAGTTGGTTGTGATGCGTGAGGCCGACAAGCCGAAATGGAATAATATCATAGGTCGTGTCCAGCAACAAAATGAGATGGAAATGCTGACAAGAAATCAGAACCAGTGGGAGGAGGGAGCTTGTTCAGGTAAGATATTGGTACAACTTTAAACGGCTTGAATATTCCGAAATTGTACTAATTCTGTCATTTATATTGCTAGTTGTAGTAGTGGTTATTTATATTTCTCGTAAAAATAGGCTTCCTTCAACCTTGTGCACCACATGCGGTTTCTGTTATTCTGAATCCATCGGATCAACTACAGTTTCGACGACAGGGTCCAGTATTTAATACTCTACAGCAGAATCCAGTACCTTTTCTATTGCCTATGCAGCAAAATCAAGCATTTTATCGAATTCCACAGCAAAATCAAGCACCAACGTCGACAATACATCATATTATGTCAGCCAGTCAAATCCCTACCAGAGGAGTGTCGCCAGATCATGTCAATTTTGTTTATCAAAATGGTGCAGAATCATTTCCCAACTTGATACCCAATCTGAATGAAAATATTTTCAATCAAAATGAAATATTTAACCCTATGATGATGATGGTCCCACCTCAAAGTATCATCCCGCCTGGTAAGATAGATTTATAGGGAAATGGTTGATTCATTTCGTGTGACTAAAGTTATACACAATTTTCAGGTGTAACATATTCCAACGGGAACTCTACAAACACTTTGACATACGATTTGCAATGTTCTCCAAATAATGACCAGCCAATTTCAAGTCATAAGGTTTCCAAGCACAATAACGGCTCTAATAATCGTCGTCGTCGACCATCGTCCAAAAGTGAGTTTGTTAACTCACGTGCTCACTAATTTAAAATACTTGACGATCTAATGTACAGTAATTTTTTGAAGATTCTACAATTGGAACCTACAGAAAAATTTGCATAAAGGAAGAAAAACCATCTATACCCAATCCTAAACTCATGCGAACATTTGATGCTCCAGAAAATGTCGTCCTAACCTTCCCCAATCCGGTAGAGTTTATTATGAACAAGACGGAACCTAAGGAACCTGGAAGTCCAGAGAAACGTCTCTACCGCTACTCAATAACAGCAGATTCCATCGTTGTCAAAGTGGATCAAAATACGCCTACATCTGAAGCGCTCGACTATCTAAAGGATGTCAAAATTAAACCGTTCAATCAAGCCCAGAACCAGAATGATATAGACGAATTCAAACGGCAACAAAGACTATATAATCTTCAACGAAAGGCGAAGAAGTTCAGGAAGGAGGGAGAAAAGGACTGCGTTGATACAGTGGTAATTGGAACTCAGGGTGAGAAGTCGCAATTTTGATACATTGAGAAGTTTGCTTAAAAACATACAGTGCAACCTTCATTTATTCCGAGTTAGAGACAATCCCATTAAAAATTTTTAATTTTTAGGCCAATTGCGACGCGCCATGAAACGACCCTCCTCTCCCAAGTCCAAGTCACCTCCTCAGTCTGGACTCCAAATTCCTAACCCCCAACAAATTCAACTTCAACAGCAGAGAAGTTTGAGCGTTATCGTTCTTTCTAACCAGCAAACATCGAACCTTGTCGACAATAGCAGTAGCAATTATTAATGAAATGTATAATTTTCACTCATCTCATATAACGGTTCTGGTCCAGTTTTACTTATGCATACAGTTTTTATTTAAATATTTTAATGGTTTCGTTTGATCGTTTACAATTTGTTTAAGGTATTATTTTGCGTTTACCTAATTTGTCGTAATACTTCGAAACGTTATCTACGTTGATTTTACTGAATGTGATAACGTAATTTTTAAAATTTGATGTTTTAGTGTATGATTACATGTTGGAAAAAATGTTTTATGATCAGATTGTGAATGTATATTGTCGGTTATATCGTTTTTAACAATATTGTGCATGGCATGAACTGACTTACTGGAATAGGTTATTTATTTTACTGACGTTTTATCAATATTGTTATTTTTACTAATAGTTTTACAAGTATGTTATTGTTGACGAAATTACTTGACTCTGGTGTATTTAGATGTAACTGATATTATTGACTCTTTGGTTGTTGTTACGAAGTATGAAATATTAGTACTTTCAGTCAAATAGAATAGAATAGAAATAGCTAAATCAAAATTGTGTTATTGTTGACGAAATTACTTGACTCTGTTGTACCTAGTATTTTGATGTAACTTATATTATTGACTCTTTGGTTGTTGTAACGAAATATTACTACTTTCAGTCAAATAGAATAGAATAGAATAGAAATAGCTAAATCAAAATTGACCTTGAATTTTCTACCTCATAGAATATGATACGAGCGTAAATTGAGTGAAGTCTGTGTAATTCAATATGTCAGAATGAAAGCATGTACTACGAACTGTCGGATTGAAGTGCACTTGACACTTGAAAGTAACGATATTATTAAAAGCCTGACTCGAACTAAAAACTAAAGTGATATTGAATTACGATCCAACCTGAACAAAAAGAAAGCATTGCATAGAAGATTTAACTTCCATGCAAAATTGATATTCCATGTACTTACTACTAGGTGATTTTACGTACTCCTTCTTTTTCCCATCCCACCCAAATAATGTCACTCACGATACATTTGCTTAGTTAGTTGGCTGTTCGTGACCCAATACATGCCAAGAGAAAGCTACTTTCACCCCGAGCTACATACTTACTACGAGATCTCGCTCTTTTAGCTTCACAGCTCTCGAGCAGGAGATGAAGCAACAGCCTCTAAACAAAATCAAGGTCACCTATGTATGAACTTTCTCCCTGGCTTTCTCTCCTCTCCCGGGACTTGGGTAGTGGTGGTGGTGGTGGGTGGACAACATGCATACATAGTAAGGCGTATATACATAGCTTTGTCCTCATATATGTATGTAACGTTATGTTCTGTTATGTTAGTTACTGCTCGATCTCTCGAGAAAGGAGTGACAAAGTAAAATAAAATAAAGTGCTCTTTCACTTTACGAAAGAAAGAAGAAGAATGACACGGCACGGATGGTTCAACAACAAGATGAAGCCAAACTTGCGAAACCTTGCGAAACCGTGCTCTTCTTCTACTCCATTATTCGCGTAGTTTGGTTTGGGTTGAAGTACGTGGAGAAAGTGGAAAATCATCTCATCTCGTAATGATGATGCCCAACCAAACCTTCTTTCTCCTTTCCTTCGTCGTCTTCTTCTTTTGATTATATGGATGGATGTAAGAAGAAGTAGACGAGCAGTTCTTTGAGTGGTTGGTTCTCTACTAGTTGTTTGTTCTTGTTCTTGTCGACTTTCTCCTCCTCCTCCGTTCTCTGTTCCGTAGTTTGATTTTGAATCGAATAATAATCGAATAATGTAGGATTGGATATAAGAGAACACTTCATTTGAGTCCGATCCGATCTGCAGACTGATCAGAAGAAGGAAGCAAGATTGATGATTGCTTTCTCTTTCCGACTACTCGATTTCATTTCCATTTCTGCTTTCACCCAGAATGCAACACGGTGGTGAAAGTGGTGAAAGTACATAAATTCGGTATTGCGATACATCTTATTAATTTTTCTGACGTAAAGTTTCCGATGTATTTTTCCCACCCTGCTGATAACCACACCTACCGCCCACTCGTCATCTTTATTTTTCACCGACAGGGGAAAATAGATTCATTATTTATTTAGAGACTGAAAAAGAGAGAGAGAACTGCCTCTCGTTTCCGGTGGTTGGTGAAAACGAGAGAGAGAAAGTTTGTTTGGATGGAGGTGAAAGTTGTCAAAAAAAGAGAGTAGAAAACCCGAATTCACCGAATATCGGTGGTTTGGTAGTTTGGTAGTAAAGGAAAAAAACAGGGTATCGATTTATGTATGCATGGTTTGGTTGGTCGTAAGTAGACGTAAGAAGTGAGACCAACCTAGTGTACGATTACGAGCGAGAGAATCTGTCAAAACACCTGCTAAATAAGAATGCACAAATATTTTACTTACTTACTTAATACTGGTCACAAAAACTGGTTTAATTTAATAATTAGTGTAAATTTACGTAACTGTGTGGGTAATTAGTAAATGTGTAAAAAGGACGGGTTTTAGTCAGCAGGCAATGTAATGTGTTGTGAATTTAGTGCAAAAAGGTTACCTATATTTAGTAGGAAACATATGACTCATTGTTTAAAGTAATAACTGATGGTATTTTTTGCTAATTGTGAATTGTGGGTTGGGTGGGTTGGGACTTATCAATAGTGTAGAATATGGACTGATCAATCATTATCGTCACATTGGACAAATATCAGCAATCGAAAAGAATGAGGGAGTTTCCTCCCCGAGTTATTTCGAGCCGAATTATCGTGTGTGAGTTATTTTGGTATTTATTTAGATAAACTTGTTCTTTAACCTTTGAATGTTTACTTGCAGATAACGTATTAACGTCCCTTCACAAAGAAGATGGTGTCGTCACAAAGAGAAGAAGAATATCATCATAATCATGTTGATACAACAAAGACAATAATAGTTTGGAGTGGACATAATGACACTTAAGTAGTTAAGAAGATAACATTTTGAAGGAAAGACGACAAAAAGTATTATAAAACTAAGAGTGTAGTTGTTTTATTAGTGTGGAAGGTAAGGTTTTAATTGTTGTGAGAGACAAATATATTCTGCCCCTGGATGGAAAGAAGTATGAATATAATGCGGAAACTTTGGGTGAGTGGGGGTGGCGGGGGTAGTGGTTCCGGCCCAAACTCCAGCAATTCGCCCAACGGGGGTCAAAGTATTTCCTTGGGATTGATGCATTTGAGGAAACTGTTTGGCGAATGGGTGCATTCACCTTCGGACGACAAGATTTACAACATGCTACCACTATTTTGCAAGGTTTGTGCCACAAATTTTTGCGAAAGATTGATTGGTTTTCAATTTTTCTCTCTTGAAAATTAGGTATTCAGCACTGCAGCAGCATCGGAAATGGCGGAACGTTTCCCAGAAATCAATACATTTTGTTTGGCCGTGTCGAAACTGATCGTGTCAGAAGTGAGGCGACGTGCCGCTAACGAATCGACGGAAGCAGCTGCTGTTGCGATCGCCAAATTTTTAGAAGCGTCGCACCAAGCGGAGGAAGACTCACGGGGATGGACCCTCCTCTCCACGCTGAACTTGCTCTCGGCAGGGGAACAGGGTTTGGTGGATACGATGACGGGAGCCTCGGTCCCGTCCACCCTGGTGAAATGCTTATACCTATTTTTCGACTTGCCGGAAGTTCAACCCCCCGAAACGAAGGGACCTGCTTCCGATTTTTCCCCAATGGAGAGACGTCTCCTCCTACAAAAGATTTTTGTCCAACTTCTCATCCGCCTCAGTTCCCATCCTGCGCCGGCAGAAGAGTTGGCTAAAAAGGATGACTTGGTTCTTCTCTTTTCTGCTGTGACGTCCACCTGCCCACCGCAGAATGCAATGTGGAGGAAATCAGCAGCGGAGGTGTTGATGACCATATCTACGCACGGATTAACTCCTCCCGTTCTGTCATACATTCACAGTAAGTTGATTATTTAAACAAAGTGTAGAAAATAAAATGGACATAATTGCTAATGATCATTATAATTTGAATTTCTAGATAAGGGGTGTATCTCACTTTGCATTGAGAATCTCAGACGAGGATCGGTCCTTACGCCATTGGAAGTCACGGAAATGGTTCTCACAGTGTTCTGCTTTCTCAAAGACTCTGCAGATTGTTCACAAGTTTTGCTTGATGATTTCAAATCTTGTCAAGGATATCAGTTTTTGACAGAAGTACTTTTAAGGTGACTAATTTACAATGATACCAGACCAGTGATAAGAATCAAGTATTATCTGGGATGCGAGTTTAATAAATAATTTGATAATTTTACAGGTTGGAATCTGATGCATCGGGTGAGAGTCAAGAAGCAATTCGGAATTTGGTCCTTGTCGTTGCATCGCTCACAATGTGCGGAACGACAGCATTGAAGCCAAATACTGCCAATTTTAATTCACCATTTTCTCTACCAACATTCCAACTTCCTCCGCTCGGTGCAAAGGGTGAGTACAAGCTAATCATGTAAATATTATTTGACAAACTAAGGAGAAATTGTAATCTATTATTTCAATCTATTATTTGATATATATGTTGCAGGAAGCACAGTCAGAAACTTGCCCGCATTCCAAGTCCTACAGTCAGTCTTCTCTCGCTGCACGACACAATTCCTCTCCTCTGTGGCGTTGGAATCGATCTCAACCGTTTTTAAGGTAAGCCCTCAAAAAACTTTCACTCGGAATAATTAGTAATTTTGTACCATCTCCTATTTAAGGCGGACAACTCCAACTATTTCATCGTCGACTCAGCCCTCCCCCAAATGGCAGAGAAACTCATACACAAGCCACCCGATGTGCAACAAAAGTATCTCGAACTGGTGGAATTTGTCGTTTTTCAGCTACAATTCACTCCTTGCAAGGAACTTATCGCGATCTCACGCATCTTGAAGAACGACATTAGCGAGAATTATTTGTTGGACAATTTTGGAAATAATGCCTCGGATAGGAACTCGGCCAGTACTAGAAAGCAAAGTCTTAGTCTTGGGATAAATCCTGTTTCCGATATCGAACATGAAGTCCGGCTCAAGTTGAAATGTGTCAAAATTTTGTTGAATTTGACAAAGCATAACATCTTATTCAAAGACGTTTTTCGCGAGGTGGGCATCCTTGAAGTGATGATTACATGTAAGTTATGAATATGTACATAAATGATATCAGTATACATAAGACTATCTAATCCTAAATATGTATGGACAATAAATATAGGTCTGCATCGGTTCGGGAGCGATGTGGAGGCGCCGGATCATAGAAAGGGTACGAGAATTAGAAAAAAACAAGTTTGAAAATTTGAGTGATGAGTGATTAGGATTACATTAAATAATGAAATCAAAATATTTTGATTTTTCGTTAATCCCAGATCCCAATTTTCACCTGAAGCAAGAGTTGGGTCTAGTCGTTATCGAATTACTAACTCTTGTCCTGTCAGGGAACAATTCAAATGTAACAATATTTCGAGAAAATAATGGATCGAGATGCACCGTGCAGTTGATCAAGTGTTCAACTTCTATTCGACCGTATACTTTGGGTACAATTAATAAGTATTTTATCAACTTAATTTTAAGTATTATGATTTATTTAATTAATTGATTCTTTTGCAGGACTGATGCAACAACTCCTTATGAGCCAAGGCGGGGAAGAAGACATGTCCACCGTCCTTGTCCTCCTCCACTCTTCCGACTGCGTGACGGAACTCGAATTGAAAATTGAAATCCTCAGCGCCCTCCTCTCCTGCTTTAGGGAAAGTCACCGAGCTCGAACCAATTTCAGAAAAGCGGGCGGTTTCCTCTATTTAATGAGTGTCCTTGTTTCGATGGAGGGTCAACTAGCGCCAGGGACCTCCTCAGTTACAGCGACAAGTACCCAAATCCGCGAGAAGATGCACACAATTCAGTTAATATTCACTTGCTTTGCACTCGCGATGCGGTAAGTTTTAAGAGTTTCATTAAAATTCATTTAACTCGGGTAAATTGAAAGTGCATAAATATTTTTACGCAGATTTGAGCCAGCCAATGCAAAACTATTTCATCAAGAAATCTGTCTTCCAAGCTTGGCCGACACGCTTCGTCTCTTGGGATGCTTTTCCAGAGAAAATCAGACAATCCAAGGTGGAGGTGGACTGCTCCTCCCACCACCACAACCACCCACTTCTTCCTCGTCCAATAATTCTTCACCCACTTTGACGAACAGTATTACTAATAACGAATCTCAGTCACAACAACAAGCTTTCAACAACGTACAATTATTATCTCAACCAGGAGGGGATCAGGACAAGCTGCATGTTTTTCACACAATTTTCACCACGTGTCCTGGAAGTGTGGACCCGTTAACGTTTCAGGATAAGGTTCCCCTAATATTGGTCTTTGCCGTATTCGTGTTTCGACTTTTGTACGATTTAGCGACGGATAATTATGAAAGGAATCCGTTGCCTGCGTCGTTAGGTTGGTAGTAAATTAATTTAGTACTGCAGCGATTTTTTATGCTGTCATAATTTACTCTGCTTTTTTTGTTTTGTTAGGCGGAGCATTCCGATCTCCTCGCAAACAGATCTCTGGCGACGATGGGGGAACATCCACCGCGGAAAACTCGACCCCCACCAGTCCCGCACCGGGTTTGGGACTAATTCCCGTCAAAAAGAGTGCAATCGGGAGTCTCAACTTTTGTCCCCCAACTCCGGAACCCGTCGTGATTCATTCCGCCGTTGTAATCGTCATGATTAAACTGATCCCGTCAGTATTCATTGGGGACTCTTCTTCTACGTCAAATTCAACAGGAATGCAAACAATGTGCCAATTATTTTGTGCTGAACTGGTTAAAAGTCTCGTAAGAAGTGAGAAGAATCAGCAGGTCATGTCCCAGGCGGGGCTAACGGAAGATATTCTCGAACACTGCTCCGTCGCATTGAGTGACGAACAACATCCTCTTCATCAACCAATCCATTATGCTTTCGAGAGAGTGGCAACACATTGTTTGTCTTCGAAAGATTTGAGGTATAAATTTCCGGCGTATAAATATGTAAATACTATACCTACATTTGTATCAACCAAAAAAATCTATGAATTTATTCAGACGATTCATGCGGCTCGGAAACCCATTAAATTGCGAACGAAATTACCTCCCTCCTGTGACAACGTTATCATCAAGTCTGACCTACGGACCGGTACCACTCTCTCGAGTCAAGTCCCTCGTCTCGATGACCACTCCCAAGTCGTCCAACTCCTCCAACATGTCTCAGTCATCTACACAATCCTCCTTCTACTCCAACTCGACGACGCCGTTCCCATCCTTCATCGAGTTTGACATGTCTGCGGAAGGATTTGGATGTCTATTTCTACCTTCAATTGCTCCCAGTGGACTGCAAGCGACGCCCGACTTTAGTTCGGCTACTCTCCTGGCGACAGGAATGGGTATGGGAGAACGAGGGTTTCCTGGTAATTCGCTATATTTTGCTGAGTGTTTTGTTGCATTTGGAAAAGTGAACATAACTGTATTGCATTTCTGTAAAAAAATTGACAATTTAAAAAATTAAATTAAAAGGTAACTCTATAGTCAAAATCTTCTCAGACAAAAAAGATTACTTAATTTCGAGCTTCAAGTTTAAAATTTAATCAAGGTTTCTACTCTTTTTTTTTTGCAACGCCAATAATTCCAGCTTCACAATAATAGCCCAATCAATTTCGCTTTCAAGCCACATTCTATTAGCTGTGCAAGTATGGCAATGATTTTTATGTAAATCATAACACTTTTGATTACAAACTAATTTAACTAACAAAATATTTTATAATACTTTCAACTATTTTAGTAAAGCATAATTTGTGCTGTTATTATAACACATCTCGTTGTGGACAGGTACTACCGGGATGGGATATTCTACTTGGTTCTGCGTCGACAAATTTAGCGACCCACGCGCAGATCCACATCCCATCAGAATTCTGACCGTAGTCAAAGAAGTGAATGGAACTCAGAGGCTAACTTTGTGCATAACGGTGTCCGCCAGAGATAAGGCGCTGCTCGTATCCACGCGAGAAACACAACTTCCTCCACAAGGTAAATTTATTTGTGGTAATAATTAAATGTGTAAAACGTGTAAAATAAATGTTGTTTTTCTTGTATATTAGGAATTGGTGAATGGGAACCCGATGTCAGTCCACCTCACTCGGTTCGTGTCTGGTGTCCTGATCTGATCCATGAGAACCAGTGGTGTCACTTGTTCTTTACTTTCTCCCCCTCGTCAAACCACCCATTCACGATTTATATTAATGGACGCTCTACCCACTCATGCAAACTCGACTATCCTCACCGCACAAAAGGAGCGAGCTATAGTGCTTTCATTGGAACGCCACCCGCTTGGAGGAAACTGTCGCGGTTGACGTGGCGTCAAGGTGTCTGCCACTTGTTTGAGGATTGGGTTCCAAATTCGCAAACTGTTCACACGATTTGGAAACTGGGACCTGAATATCCTGGCAGTTGGCAGGCTGTCAAGTTGCAGTCAGACAATCACAGCACACTTGTTGCCGAAGACAAAATAATGTTTGGACTCAATGCCCTCGCCGTGTCGCAATTGACGTTGGCGAAAATTAGAAAACTATATTCCAAGACGGATGCCAAAGCTATTGCGAAACAGGTATGGTTATGGTGATGACTTTGTTAGTGAAATGTACCTCATTCTTTTTAAATTTACTTCCAGCTTGGGTTATCTTCGCACGAAAATGCGACCCCAATTTCCATCCTGCACAACTCTGCGGTATTGTACAAACATAGTATTTGATGGTAGATCCAAAATTCTAATTTTTAAATTCATATTATTTGATTGAACTTATTTCTTTAGGTTCATTTAATGGGACCTAGTCGCTGCTTGGGCGGAGTGGTGATTGGTTACCTGGGGGTCAGAATATTTCATCCTGAACCCGTCGCAAAGGGGGTGCTCTCCGTTGGAGGGATTCCGATTCTGATTGGTCTCGTCGCAATGGCCACGACAGGAGAATCTCTCTACGCTGCCCTTAAGGCGCTCGTCTGCGTTGTGAAGAGCAACAGCGTGAACGGGTTGACAAGTGCGAATCTACTTGATCGAGGCTCATCCCAAATGTTGGGGTACTTGCTGAAGAAGAAGAAAAGTTTGCTGTCTATGCGGGTGCTGCATCTAGTCTTTGGTCTCGTATCGACCGAGTGTGGCTCAATCAAGGAAAATGGGGGAGGTGGGTAGAACTTTTTATGCATTTCTGCAGGGTCTCAAAATTGGTAGTTGAGAACAGATTTTTTAAAAAATAATTCTTACATTCAATACAAATTAATACTCCAACTAAAAATTACGCTTTTGCAGGCGGAGGATTTAATGACTTGCTCGGTGATTTGGACATCTGGTGTGGAAACAACGTCTACTTCAGCCACCCATCCCCATGTTCGGACTCGACCCAAGTAAAATCCGACCAAGAATCTGTGGCTTCAACCCCTTGCGATTTCTTGGGGGCGTCTAATATCAAACCCACCGTGACGCTTGGAGCACCAGACTCATCATCATCCCAACAACAACCTCAAACTCATTTCGACTTTAGTCATGCCGACCTGGTATTTTCCTATATCTATTTTTTTAAATTAATTAGAAGGGAACGAGAGCGTAATCTTTGGATCGGCATAAAATGAGCGAGTTTATTGAACACACATTGAGATATAATTTAGAAGTGTTTGTAAATTTAAAGTGCAAAACTAATGCAACAAAAGATAAATTTATTTCTTGTTCAAAGTATATTTCTTGAAAGGGGGGTGTTTGTTTACTGAGAGAAGATGTAAAGGCAAAGGGAAGAACGACCGGTTCTGTGTTGCAAAACGACGTGCTTTATGGAAGTTTTCATAGGAAATTGGCTTGTCGTAACCAACTTTATTTTGTAGTCCTTTATTCAAAATTTCAACTGTCACGGTATTTCCATCCTGCTCCATCCTCCTTCTCATCTGATTTACATACTATAAGACAAAAATAATTTAGGCTTGAAATTCTATTATCATAACCAGAGTAAAATTCATCTTACTTTCCAATATTGTTGCCATTTAAAGGCGTTTTCACGATTTTTTTGAGTCGTCTTGCCAGAAAATACAAAGTCCTATATCCACTCTAATAAAGCGTTAGTGTTAAGTCGCTGACTGAGTCCCTGTGGCTCTCAATGCAAGTTGCCCCGTAGAAGAGACAAAGAGGAAAGCTGAGCAACCACTGCATGCATGAATTTTCTGCATGAGTCTCACTTCGCCTGCACGTGACTTTCACGTACGTACACTTGCCATCAAACTCAAATTAAATGTTTTAATATATAAACACAGTGTGCAAGTATTACTTGCACACTCAATTTAAAATTGAGTGTGCTCACATCACTCATCAATAGTGGTTATCATGATAAGTGATCTTGATAAACACTATTAATTAATTAGTTTAGTTTGAGACACTCCACCTGCAACGACTGGAATATCAATTCGAATGTATTTTTGACGCTAAATCCAACGCCGTTAATGGTTTTGACCTCCGAGGCCCGTGTGACCTTCCCGTGACCGTGGGGGGTAAATATGGCTTATTCGTGATGTCGCATATCAATTCGAATGTATTTTTGACGCTAAATCCAACGCCGTTAATGGTTTTGACCTCCGAGGCCCGCGTGACCTTCCCGTGACCGTGGGGGGTAAATATGGCTTATTCGTGATGTCGCATATCAATTCGAATGTATTTTTGACGCTAAATCCAACGCCGTTAATGGTTTTGACCTCCGAGGCCCGTGTGACCTTCCCGTGACCGTGGGGGGTAAATATGGCTTATTCGTGATGTCGCATATCAATTCGAATGTATTTTTGACGCTAAATCCAACGCCGTTAATGGTTTTGACCTCCGAGGCCCGCGTGACCTTCCCGTGACCGTGGGGGGTAAATATGGCTTATTCGTGATGTCGCATATCAATTCGAATGTATTTTTGACGCTAAATCCAACGCCGTTAATGGTTTTGACCTCCGAGGCCCGTGTGACCTTCCCGTGACCGTGGGGGGTAAATATGGCTTATTCGTGATGTCGCATATCAATTCGAATGTATTTTTGACGCTAAATCCAACGCCGTTAATGGTTTTGACCTCCGAGGCCCGCGTGACCTTCCCGTGACCGTGGGGGGTAAATATGGCTTATTCGTGATGTCGCATATCAATTCGAATGTATTTTTGACGCTAAATCCAACGCCGTTAATGGTTTTGACCTCCGAGGCCCGTGTGACCTTCCCGTGACCGTGGGGGGTAAATATGGCTTATTCGTGATGTCGCATATCAATTCGAATGTATTTTTGACGCTAAATCCAACGCCGTTAATGGTTTTGACCTCCGAGGCCCGCGTGACCTTCCCGTGACCGTGGGGGGTAAATATGGCTTATTCGTGATGTCGCATATCAATTTGAATGTATTTTTGACGCTAAATCCAACGCCGTTAATGGTTTTGACCTCCGAGGCCCGTGTGACCTTCCCGTGACCGTGGGGGGTAAATATGGCTTATTCGTGATGTCGCATATCAATTCGAATGTATTTTTGACGCTAAATCCAACGCCGTTAATGGTTTTGACCTCCGAGGCCCGCGTGACCTTCCCGTGACCGTGGGGGGTAAATATGGCTTATTCGTGATGTCGCATATCAATTTGAATGTATTTTTGACGCTGAATCCGAATCCGTCAATAGCTTGGCGTTAATTGTAGAAGTTAATGGGGTTTATGGAACTTAACGGGAGCGTGAAGCGTGGGAATTTAAATAGTTAGCTATGCAGTTACTCCCACACGACGGGAATTTAAGTAATTAGCTATTCAACTACTCCCACAGGGGGAAATCAAATTGTACTGTGACCAGATTAATTAAAATGCAGCATGACTTGGGCAAACCCTCACTCTGATGTATGCATGTGGTATGACAAAGTCTCCAGTGGAAATTATTTAAAGTATAGTATGACGAATTTTTCGCTTTGGGCACACCCCCCACTGGAACCCTAGAACCCGGCCTTGGCCGGGCTATACGCTAGTAAAGGAAATAATTGCAATAATTATTAGTTTCTTTGGGAAAACTGAGACTAAAACGTGTAATTTACTAACTTGTCTGTAACAGACAGCACCACCATTAATTAGTTTAATGAGTTCTGATTGATCGTCATCATCTAATTTTTTCCTATTCGTCAAATGATCGCATGTTTTTTTTCGAGAGGTCGCAAAATACAGAAAAAAATTAAAATTTTTCGTATGTTTTTCCATATGAAACGTCTGCATGGGTCCATAATCTTCATTCCATGCGTTTGGAGGTTGAAAATACGCGACGAATAGCGTTGCATGGTACGGAAGTAACTTTTCTCCGTCTACAGCTTTCATGTCATCATAAAATGAATCAAATTCTTGAAATGACGCACTTGCTTCGTCGTCATCGGAAGTTTCATCTTCGATTTTGAGCAGTGGAACGTTTCTTGCAATTTCTTGCAATTTAACATAAGAGGAAATAGTTGATTTGGTTCTTACCAGTCTTTTCATCAAGTTTGCTTTTTTCTTCCTATACACATCAATAAAATTAATTAGGGAGATCTATATATTTTCTTGAAATGCTACTCACTGTTCATTAGATGCATTGTGTACTCCGGAGATATGTTGTTTGAATTTCTGATGATCGTTTCCCTTATATTTGCATTCTTTAACTCTATTTCCTGTGCAGACATAAGTATATTTTGATTCTTGTTCGGTCCGGTCTTCTTCACTTTTATTAAATTTTTCAGTAAAAGGGATTTCTTTTAATAACGCCGATTCTTTCTTGTGATACGTGTCGATGTGTTGCTTAAATTTTTTTTGTCATTATTATTGTATGCTTTTCTACAAGTCTCGCTGCCTCCCCCATTGCACACAAAAGTATATTTCTTTTCGTCGTTGTGTTTTTCTTCTTCTGTTTTACTAAATTTCTCGACCAATGTTACTTTATTTACTTTCCTCATTGTTGAAATTCGAAAAAATTATAAATTCAATGGAGGGGTGAAAGGGCTGCCAATTTAAAGTCAGAATGGAGCCATGTTTGTTTATTATATTGGTGGATGTACATGCCAACTTTCAGGTGTATAGCACGAAATTTAAAATTTTGTGAAAAGATTTCTCAACTTGCCACCATCTCTTTAAATAGTACATAATTTTTCTTTGACTAATTTTTTTATTTTGTTTAATAAGGAGAAAGCCCTGTACGAACACTTTCTCCAAATGTTGGCCGAAGATAGCAAAAATTCTCTCGAAATTCTTCGCGATGCAACCATCGTACCAAAACTGTTACGACGACTGTCACAATCGTCACCCAACCAGCAATCCATCTTCCTCCTATTGAGCCATCTCCTCGCCCAAAATAAAGGCGTCTACTGCTCCCAAGATTTAATCACTTTTGGTCACTTTGTCGTTGGAGCGTTGCCCGTTGTCAGCGTTGTTTCAAGCAGTCGGGAGCGGGAAGCAAGTATCACGGAGACGATCGAACTCAGAAATAAGTGTTTGCAGTTAATCCATTCCTTAATGTACACGGGGAAAGTGCTGAATATCGGATTTTGTGAAGAGCTCGTGACACGTTTAGGGTTCGACTTTGTCCTCCTCTTTGCCGCGCCGCATCTCCATCCTTCAACGATACTGTGGTCTTTGAGAATTCTTCTCTTATTGTTGACGAGCAGCCCTGCATTGAAGAGCAAATTTCGGGACGGAGCATCGAGCGCGTTTTGTTTCGGGAGGACGATCACGTACCATTCTGTATCTGGACAGCGGGGGGCAATACTGCCGTTGAAGAAGCAAGATTCCAAGTTGGGGATTGGGGATGATGATTCGCCAGGTGAGTGTGGAAAATTGATTAAGGATGATTAATTTAAACCATGTCGTGGTGACACTATAATTTAAATTTTTTCAGGGGGATCTTCTCCGGTGTCGTCAGCTGGCGCAACTGTGGCAAGTATCGCGTCCGGTCTGACAGGAAAGGGATCTGCGGGACGACAAGTTGCTGGTGGGTGGGGGAGACTGAGTTGGTTGCTGGGCCAAAGGTGTGAAGACGTCAAAACAGAAGGCAACGATATCCTCCCGACGGAAGTGTGGCTCATTATGTGCGCCATGACGCTGAGTGAGAATAATTGTCATTAGCGAAGCTGAAGAGTGAGTGGCTAAAAGAAATTTGTTTCTATTTTTCACAAATTAGGTCAACCTCTGAGGAATGTCAATATGAAAGTTGGAGAGGGAGATCCGGTAAGTATTTATATATAGTTTCTAAAATTTATATTGGGATAATTTTGAGGAAGATTTTATTTTTGTAATCTATTTAAACCAATTTAGATGACGCTGGACGCAATTTGGCACTACGTGTTCGCCCTACCGTCGAGTAAAATGACGTCGTCACTCTACGGAAAAGTCAACATCTGTCCGGATGCAATAATTACATTGTTGAATCTTGTCCGCTGTTTTATCACTGCGGAATCTTCTACATATTCAGCAAATTCGATGAGTGGGAGTTCACCTTACATTGCAATGTCACCAACTGGACAAGGTATATATTTATAGCTAAATTACCTATGTAATGTTTAATGCAACATTATTTTCTGCAGGGCAAGGATTCAACTATCAGTCTGACGTGGGTTCTTGTATTATTCAATTCCTATGTTACTTGTACTCCCACACTCCTGAGTTTCAAAGTGTTTTCACCTCGGCCGAAATCCTCTCCGCCCTCGCAGCAACCGTCATGCCCATCGAGGTCAAACAATTCGACACTATAGGACCTGCGGATCTCTATGATTGCGAGGAAGTCAAAACGTTTGCCGATTCTGAACCCTTGGTCGTGCTGGGACAGAAAATTGATCGGCTGAATTCCGCATTCGATAATGACGACGATATTATAACAGGGACAGAAATGACGGATTCTGGTGAGTGGAAAAATACTAATATTTTGATTGGCAACTGACTAACTACTTTTGTGTTTCGATTAGGAATTTTGGACGAACATGCGAATCCTGTTGTCTCAAAGGAACCCAAACTTGGTGAAGTTGTACACGATTTTCCCCACGATTTGGCCAGCGCTGCCTCTAATTTGGACAATGTTATGAGCCATCCAGCCAAAAAGATTATTCTTGACGTCCTTCGCATGATCATAATTGATTGGATGTCCGCCTCAGGGAATCAAACTCAGTCAAAGTCACCCATGAATATGAACCTCCTCATTGATACTGTCCTCGACGCGGGGAACAACGAAGCCGAGCTGAGTCTTGGGTTGGGAGGCAATTCTCCAAGTGGGAATTGTCCTGCATTGATAAACACTGGAGTGGATAAGACCACCACACTGGCCCAGTTTCACACTTCTCTCCTCGGAACGTTACTTGACCACTTGATAGCTGGTCATGCCTTAGGTATTAAATAAAAAATTCTAAGTCTCATGTAATGTGACCAATGTGAACATGTTTCATGCATGACCCAACACTGAATGCATGATTCAAAGGCAGGAATATAAGCAAGGCGATATTACGACAACACTCAAAAAAGGTTGTCTTTAATTGTTTCTGTCTAATGATTGATCACAAGAAAAACTGATAATTTCAAGAAAGATTATGTCATTTCTTCCTTTTCACTGGTGATTTGGTGGTGTTTGAGAGGGGAACACAGTTCTCATTCCTCTTTTCAGAATTTGCACGCAGCAACAAAGCTCGTTCTCGTTTCATCGCCACCAACTAATTATTCAAATACAGTTCAACGATTACAACGAATGCAATACAAATTACTAATTTTAGAGTTGAAAATAAGGAGAGTTGACTTACCTTTTGTTTTGTCTCATTGTGAGCTTTTTTCTCATCCTCCAACTCCTTGAGCAACTTTTCTTCACGAAGCGAGGCCTGATGCAGCTGTTCCTCCAAGTTGCAAATTTTCGAAGTCCCTTGTTCAATCTTTGCCCTGAGAATCGGGTCGCCCAGTGGTCGATCCCCTTCTTCTGTTTCGTCTATGAAGACTAGTTCACGGTCCCCAAATACCAACGAATTCTTCAACTCTTCCACTGCTTTGATGATGATGGCGAGTTCATCTTTTTCAAAAAACGTGAGAGCTTCTGGGGGCATAAGTGTGTCCACGCACACTTTTTGAAGAATATTGCGAACTGTCCACTTCCCGTTCGAACTGCATAAAGTTCCTTGCAAAGGGTGGATGGGGACGACTCTTGTTTCATTACAAATCACCTCAAATCCTTCTGGGAGGAGGACCCTCGACGAGCAAGCCGTCTTCAGCATGGTGGTGTTGTTACTGGCACTCTGCACTACAGACTTGTTTTTCTGGGCGGCAAGAACCTCGTCTCCATACGTAGTTTTACTTATACTCAGACCGATCGTGTTGTCCTTCATCCAAATTTTGAGTATTATTTTGTGTAATCCGCCATTACTCTCTGCAACCAACAATAAAAACGAGGCAAATATATATGGAACCGTAGATATTTTATAAAGTTAGTTTACCATAATAGTCTTGAGGTTTAAATGCTCTTGTCATAATTTTGCAACCATCACCGTCTGCGTAAACGTGTGTTGGAATGGCGACGTGTCCTCTCCTTGTATGATTTTGCAGCGACACCTGATTACTCGCCACGAACTTGCAAGTCATGCATGTCGCCACCAATTCACCACCAGTAGTCTCTATTTCGAAATTTTCGTAAGAGTTTTTCGGCCTAAGCGTTGTTTCTATAAATATAAATATAGATAACGATTATTGTGGTAATGTATAAATTAGAAAATCATTAGCTAAACATTACTGTCAATCTGGCTGGATCTGGGATGTCGTACCCTCATGTGTAGAAGGACATCAGAATTTCTAAATTTATTCAAAGAATGGTTAGGTTAATCAAACAGTAAATAATACGAAAGTACATGAATAAGGAGAGACAAACCTTTTATACTTTAACCCACAAAGTACACACGCAAACTTTCTCTCATCGGAATGGGTCATCTGATGACTGTTCAGATTACCCTTTGTGACAAACGTTTTGCTGCACTTGTCACAAGCAAATTCCTTTATATTGAAGTGTCTTTTTCGATGAACTTCAAGTAGATATGCCGACACAAAACGTTCGTCGCACATGTCGCACTCGTACTTATTTTTTATTTTGGCCACTTCGAAAGCTTCCGGTCCTTTCACTCTTTTTCGCAGCTTCTTGCCAATGGGTGCCATGTCGAACTTTTCAGTTATACCACTTTTACTAATTTACTCACGGTCAGAGTGTGGGCGGTGAGAAGATACTTTGTTTACTTTTATGAGTGGTAAGGGAATTAATTCACAGCGGAGTGAGTTAATGAGACAGAGCAGTGAGCTTTGTTGCTGCGTGCAAATACTGAAAATACGTTTTCGTTTCTTGTTGTGAAATAATGTGCGCGTAGTTCCAGAGCGGATGGGGGTTAACTCCTCGTGAGGTGGGGTTTTGGGGGGTTCACCTCCGGTCTGCAATGAAAATTATTACTTGTTAAATATACGCACATGAAAAATAAGTATGCAATTCACTCTGCAAATATTTAATCCGGTTAATTGTCACCCTGTTAGAACTCAGCTTACCCATCGCGAGACAAAAACATGTCGCGAGACTTGTGACGAGAATCATGTATTCAAACGCTCTTTAAAGAAATAATTACAATTTTTAGACCCAGTACAAAATTTAAAATTTTATTATTTTGACCACTTGATAGCTTTCGATTTGGACAGGATGACTACTTATTTGCACTCGGTGGCGCTTTTTCTGTCGAGATTGGTGGATAAATTGTGGTTGGAGAGGTGGGTACAATTTGTTTTTATTATTAATAACTATATACGTAACTATTAATTTATGTAGTACAGAGAATTAATACTGAAATATTTGTTTGTTAAAAGTTTTTCGAGAGATCCACAAGTCGTGTTGGACTATTTACTGGTGCTCATTAACCACTGCAGGTATGTAAATAACTTGTCTTTGTCTTGTCTTAAATTTTGATTTATAAGGATTGCATTTATTTTCAATTTGTAGAAGTAAACGAACTCCACCCGCAACGACCGATTTGATTTTTAATTCCTTCAACCGCGTCGTCTTATTCGTCCTCTCTCGACGTGCCAATCAATGGGACAAAGTAGAAACACTAAAAAAGCTGAGAACGATCCGCACAGTAATTTTTGGGGCTGGAAACCACCAACAAGAATTTTTCGGCTGTCTCACTCAGTAAGATATTCATTGTGTTTAAGTATTTTCCTGCAACTAATTAATTATTTTGTACAACAGTGTCCTCATGCAACTCATCGACGGTCTTCCAATTGCTCTTGAGAGTGCCAACAAAACCCAGTGGCACGTCCGAGTCACACCCCGTCCGGGAGAGGAAATTCATGAAAATGCTGACATCGAAAGTCGACGAGAACAAAGGGAAGCGGCCCGGCTAGATTCGGAGATTTCCACCACGGCAGAAAAAGTTTGGGAGGTTAGGTTATTGTTTATTGTACAGAGAATATTCAAACGATCAGAATTGATTTGAAACTTTATTGGTTAATTTAGGATTTGTTCATCAGCAAAAAGCCTATGGTGGAAGACACGTTCAAAATTAGCTTCTCGTCCCCCAAACCTCCTTCCCTATCGTCTCTGCGGGATCAAATTGGCGACTCGGCAAACAAATTGTGGCTCACATACGTAGCGTCGGAGACAAATCCGGGGAGTAAAAAACATAAGGATTCCGCAGCAGTGTCACAATCGTGGGAAATCCATCAACAACTTCAGTCCAAGTTGCAGAAGGTTACAGGGGGTTTGACCCGACTGGCAGGAAGGTCGGGAATCAGAAAGGATTCGGAAAAAGAGAAAACGACACGAGAACTTGTCACACAGTGGCCAGAATCGAGAAAAGCACAAAATGTGAGAGCTCTAATGATTTAGTGTTTAATCAGAAATCCAGGAGGTTTTTATATATTTTCAGGTGGGGATCCGTCAAACTCTTCTCGTAAAAGAGATTTTAGAATCACAAGAGAAATTCTACGGAGAAAACATCCGGCATTTGAATCGATTCGTGAGAGACACGCTACTTCCAGAGTTGGAGGTTGAGTTAACTCGTGAGCGAGGTCTTTGGGGACCATTTAGTCCATCACATTTGGGTAAAATTATTTTTTAAAATTTGAGTTGATTGGCACAAATTACTAAAGGATGATCAATTAAAACATATATAGATAAATGGATGATGGATACAACGGAGGGTCCCTGTCGTATGAGGAAGAAGATGATTCGCAACGAAATGTTCTACATTCACTATCCCTTCACTGGCGATTTGCAAAATACATCAACCTCTTCGATCGGATCGGCAACCTCATCTCCGAAAATAAAGCGGATAAATCCTCCAATTAGTAAAGACTCGAGAGAATTTTATAAGCGATTCAGACATCAGATTTCTCTCGTTAGTGAGACAATTAGCGGGTGTACTACTAGCAGTATTTTATCGACATCCTCGGTGGATGAAAGTGACGATGGGATGACTTTGACGAATCTGTCGACCTCAAGCGATCCCACTTTGTCACCGAAGAGTCAACGTGAGTAGTAGTCACGTATTTAGGATTATTATGTGTTAATTGATTAATCAATTATAACGATTACTTGTTTTTAGTGGCATCTGCCTCAGACGATCCATTCTCCGACTGTTACGTAGAAGCTGCTTCGACTGATAATCAATTTATGCTGTCACGCCTGATTGGTTCGACGAATGAAAAAATCTCTCAAATTTTCCGTGTCGCTCAAATTCAAGGTGACCCTTCTCATAATTGAAAATTGTAGTACAGACTAGTATTGTAAAAACAATTTATATAACACATTTCATTGTCTACTATAGGATTGGATACGGCCGAGGGACTCTTACTTTTCGGAAAAGACGATTTTTATCTCGTCTCTGGATTTACGATATTGAAAACGAGAGAAATCAAAGATTTGTACTACCTTCCACCAAACGCTTACGAACCCATATTACCCCCACAATGTTACGGCGGAAGTGGACCTTCTCCCGCTAAACCAAGGACGAAGACGCACACCTGCCTGAAATTCAGATATGAGGATATTCGCGAAGTTCATAAACGCCGGTGAGTCATTAATCTATCGAATTATAATTATAATTATAATTATTTTTTTGTGATAATAATTTAAATATTTTTCTTTCTCCAGGTACTTGTTGCAACCGATAGCGCTGGAAATATTTTTATCCGACGGTCGCAACCATTTACTCGCCTATCCTAGAAAAATTCGTAACGTTGTTTTCTCCAAGTTTACGTCCGTATCTAAAAACTTGTCGGATTCGGGGACAGATGCCAAACAATCAGTGGCTGGGCAGAGAAGGACGGCTAACGTCGAGCAAAGTCCTGGACTCCTGTCATCCCTGATTGGAGACACTTCAGTTACACAGCGTTGGGTGGTGGGTGCATATAAATAAATAGTGTGAAAATTATGAAGAATTTACTTAAAGAAATTGAATAATTCTTGCTTCCACAGAGAGGAGAAATCTCCAACTTTCAGTACCTCATGCACATGAATACCCTCGCGGGACGGTCGTACAACGATTTAATGCAGTATCCTGTCTTTCCCTGGATTCTGGCCGATTATGATTCCGACTTTATCGATTTGAATGACATCACGTCCTTCCGTGATTTAAGTAAACCAATGGGTGCACAATCCTCTGGTAGGTTGGGCCAGTTTGTGAAACGATACAAGGAATGGGACGATCCACACGGGGAGACTCCGCCATATCATTATGGTAAGTACATATGCAATGAAATAATTATCAATGGCTGGCCTAATAAAGAATCATGGAATACAGGAACTCATTACTCCTCGGCGATGATTGTTTGTTCATATCTCGTTCGGATGGAACCTTTTGCGCAACATTTTCTTAGGCTACAGGTTCGTAGTTTTAATATTTAATAGTTTTTATTTTTTATTGTGAATGTGACGCGGAATTTGCTTTTGTTTTGATACAGGGAGGACACTTTGACCTTGCGGACAGAATGTTCCACTCTATCAAGGAAGCATGGACTTCTGCCTCTCGACACAACATGGCCGATGTAAAAGAGCTCATCCCAGAATTTTTCTATCTCCCAGACTTCCTCATGAACAACAATAACTTTGATCTGGGAAACAAACAGAACGGAGTTGCGTTGAACGATGTGATTCTGCCACCGTGGGCAAAGGGGGATGCGCGAGAGTTTATTCGGTACAGAAAAGAAGAAATTTAGATTTATGAATTGGTTGGAATTTCGCGTTGAAATTTTATGATTGACACAGGGTTAATCGAATGGCACTCGAGTCTGATTACGTGTCATCTCACTTGCACGAATGGATAGACTTGATATTCGGTTATCGTCAGCAAGGTCCTCCCGCTGTAGAGGCGGTGAATGTGTTTCATCACTTGTTTTATGAAGGAAATGTGGATATCTATTCGTAAGTAGAATATTTGTAAATGTTTATATGCAAATGAGATATTGACGAATATTTTCTCAACTAGGATTGACGACCCCCTCGAAAAGAATGCAACGATCGGATTTATCAACAATTTTGGCCAAATTCCGAAACAACTATTCAAGAAACCACACCCTATTAAACGAGTGACAAACAATTCCGGCTCTACAAGCTCAATTGGTGGAATGAGTCTTGGAATTGGAAAACCGTACAATTTAGGAATTCTACAACTTGATAATTCTAACCCAATTTCCGCTCTGGCCGCCACTGCGGGAGCACTTGCAGGTCACGCCCCGTCCGGGTAAGTTTAACCTTATCTGCTAGAGATGTATATCATATTTTACTCTTTTTAAATTCATCCTGTCATTTAAAAAAATCTTTGCTTTGCAGGGAGAAAGTATTTTTCCACCACATCGGAAATTTGAGACCAACACTTACGCCAGTGAAAGAGTTGAAGGGGCCGGTGGGTCAAATTATGGGGTTGGAAAAGCCAAACTGTGTCATTGCCGTTGAGCAGAATAAATGTTTTCTGTCCGCGTCACGGTACATCTCTTGGGGATATGCCGACTGTTCGGTGCGGGTTTGCCATGCCGAGACGGATCGTCCCCTGTTTGTGTGGGAGCAGCAACAACAACACTTGGCGATGGGAAGCATGGGGGAAATTGTGTGTTGTTCAGCATCAGACAAATTAGTAGTGACAGGGTCGACCAATACGGTAGAAATAATTAACAATTTAATTAATGGCGTGATGATACTAATTATTTTTCTACTTGTCTTTTAGGTCGTCTCCGTGTGGGACGTTTGCGAACGCGAATTAAAACTGAAATCTCACCTCTTTGGTCACTCCGAGTCCATCACATGTCTCGCCATATCCCCTTCGTACAACATTATCGTGTCCGGATCGAAAGACATGACCTGCATCGTGTGGGACTTGGCACGACTCTCCTTCGTCCGCCAACTTGTTCCACATTCTGCGCCAATTGATGCTGTCGGGGTGAATGAGCTAACGGGAGACATTGCGACCTGTTCTTCCTCCTGGTTGCATCTCTGGTCTGTCAATGGCGAGTTGATTGGACGGATTGACACTGCTGGAGTGGGGGGAGGGTCAGGGGGTGGCGTGAATCATGGCATTCTCTGCGTCAGCTTTTCAATCTTGAATGAATGGGATAGTGATAACGTGGTGATGACGGGCTCGATGGATGGGATCGTGAGGTTAGCTTTCTATTTAATCCATGATTCGCTTCACGATGACTGATAAAAACAAATCTTTTCGTATTCAGGTCGTGGTCGATCCGTTATGTTCAAGGTCCCATTCGGAAAAAAGCGATAGGAGACATAATCAAAGGGAAAAGTTCGGAGGATGATGAAGAAGATTCCTCCCTTATCACGGAAGACTCAGACACGGAAGAAATTATTAAAGTTCCACCTTTCTCGGCTGAAGCGGAAACAGACGGGGCCGAAAAGGATGGTGGCAGTCATTTGGCGGTCGAAGTGTTCGATCCGGACAAGGATAGAGATAGTTTGGAGGATGTGCATGAAGCTGTAAAAACAGAGGCGAACCTTAGCGACAATGCTGGCGGACTGGTGGGAGGAGGATCTAATGAAGCATTCGAGTCTGGGAATGCTTCTCAGATGCAGGTCCCCTCCATTCATTCGCCAGTTGTGATACGAAGACAACGAAGGGATCGAATCCATAGTTCAGACTCGGATAAACAAGGGTACTTGTTACTTAATTTCATAAAAGTTTGTATTTTTTAGGCACAATTAATTAATTAAACTAAAATTAAAGGACGGGAGGAAAAAACGACGCGGAAAATAAACGAGCCAAACGCCGCAGCGAGATTCCTTCTTCTCTCGCTTCGAAGGAGACCGAAGCAGAATTTCAACGACAACAACCAGATCCACAAAAACAACAAAGATCATCATTGAGAATTCGAGGATCTAAAAGCGAGACGAGTTTATCTTTCGAAGACGAAAGTTTCGAAGTAGTAAGAAATTTGCATGCTAATTAATTGCTCAATAGTTCGAGTGGTTACATTTAAAGGATTATTTTTTTTACAGGTGAGTGAGAGTGAGATTGCTAGAATGCGTCATGAAGAGAGAAAAATGAGTCATGGAGCTGCTCTTTTGGAAGCTCATAAACTTCGAGAGGGATACGTTTGGGAGAGGAAGATTATATTCCGTGGAAAAATGACGATGCATACGGCGTATGATCGGAAAGATAATACTGAACCGGCCTCCATTACGGCGATCAGTGTGTCAAAGTAAGCCAGTTGGTTTTATACATATGCGATACAAACAGGGTTTCTTTGATTATACGGCAAAATGGAACAACTTTTTTTAATATACGTTTTAGATTGAAACTATCTAGGTTTATATTCGACATAAAATTCTGAGCATTTTCATGTGCGATTCGATGTTTATTGCCCAATGTTCATCTTTAACATGCAAATGCAAAATGCAACTTTGCCTGATATCTATCGGCTCAAGTCACATAGCAAAATGCTCAGAATTTCATCCGAATGAATCCAAATATCAAATTGGTTTGTTCTAGAATGTATTTTAAATAAGTCGTTTCACTTTCCCCAGTAACATCACAAATCACACCTAAATCGCAAAGTGTGATTACCAAACCTGGATACAAACCATTTATTATTCTAATTTACTCGAATTATTTGCAGAGATCATAAAAATGTATACGTTGGGGATGCTCGAGGTCGAATTTACTCTTGGTCCGTGTCAGATACGAGTAGTGGTCATCGGGCCGATCACTGGGTGCGGGATGAAATATCTGACGAATGTGCTACTTGTCAGACCAAATTCACGCTTACCGATAGGAAACATCACTGTCGAAACTGTGGACAGTTATTTTGTGCAAAGTGAGTAAAAATCTGGCTTCAACCTTCGAATAACGATGCTAAAAATGCATTTGATATTTTTTTTTCTAGATGTAGCAGATTCGAATCTGAAATATTCCGTATGCGAATTTTGAAACCCGTACGGGTTTGCGAGCCGTGTTTTATCCAATTGAAAGGACGCCTCACCTCAATGGCGTCACTTTCGTCCTTTGACAATTAATTTAAACCTTTTAACCCTCAAACTATGCACTAAAAAGAAGACGAAGGAATGAAATCAAATCAAATCAACCCACCAGTCTGATATTTAACGATGCTACATATTATCAAAGAAAAAAGAAGACAACATATAAATGCACGAAGCTAAAAGAGTCAATATTAATATTATAAATCAAAGATGAATACCAAATCTTTAAAAAGTCTTAAATATTTAGTCTAACAGATATAACGAGAAAAGAAAATGATATATGTAACATTCCATTAATAAAAAATAAGTGTAATTTTTAATGAAATATGTCTTTGAAACTTGCCTTGAAACCGTGGAACAAATTGCGCTATTTATGTGTTATCGCATCCTTCAAAATTCCATAATTCCTGTGATTGATGGCTGTCTTGTCGAACTGAGATGGTGACGTGACGTCGACGTAATTTGCATACAAGCAAACACAGCGAGTTCACCTTCATTTCCCATTTCTCGGACAAGGTTTTAAACAGTTCTTAAACGAGCAAGTGAGTGAGGTTGAGGTGATAATCACATCTCAATGTGATACGTACGATTTGATCACCTGGCCTTGTCTCGATTCGTTTTTTTTGAAAATCTATTAATTCTGGTGGCAAAATCTTCATATTTTTACATATTAAACGATTCCATAAATCAGGAAAATAGAGAAAAATACATCTAAAAATGTGCACACATGTGTGGGTGCCGATGACTCAATCAGTTCAAAAAGTCTGTAAAAATTGTCAATTTATTTCCTGCTAAACTTTGTTAGTTCATTGTTTCTGTTTCTGTTTTTACTACGACCGTGTTTATTTGTCTCGGCTCATTATTATGATAATGAGCCGAGACATGCGTATTCTGCAACCGAGTTCAGATACCTCTTTTTTTGCAATATTGGTAGTAATCTTCTTGCCGTCACAGATGTGCTGTACGAGGACAGAATCTGTCTCCAACCAACATCTTTCTTGCAAAAGAATCACGGATGAGATGAGATGATTGAGTAAGTTGGAGAGACGTTAAAAGCTTTTTCTTCAACAAAAGTGCGGAAGGAGGAGGAAAAAAGAACGGTTCCAAAATGTAATTAGTTGCTGGACCCGAGCCAATAATTGAGTTCAATCGGAAATGCAGGAATCAAAAAGCGAGGTTTTCATGCAAAGATTATGCAAAAATGAAATGCAAAAAATAATAATGCGAATTTTTTTCAGATTTCTCAAAATTGCAACCCATAATAATCTGTATTATACAATTTTCAATTATGAACTCGGTGCAAATTTACGATTCGACTTTATCATTTGACAAAAAAAAACGTAAATTGGCAAATTTACAAGAAGCCAGATGTGTTTACACATAGTGGGAAATCTTTTTTGTTAACTGCATTTAAATGAATTTTTAAACGAAGTCGTCGTATCCTGATTAAGTTTATAATTGCATGGAACGATTTAACGGAACCGAGTAAGTTAAGAGAGAGGATGGGATGATAAGTAAGATAAGAGCTAAGTAGATAAGTAGGAAGGACGAAGAGGAAGTTTTTAACGCTCAAGGAAATAATTCAGACGGATTACTCCTCCGTCCTCAAGCAGAGAACAATTCATCCGTCTTCAGAACAATTAGAACAAGACGAGAACAACGCAAACGCAATTGTGTTTTGGTTTTGTTGCACATTTTATGGCTTTTTGGATTTGGATCAATAATTTGTCGCAGTAGGAAAGAGAGAGAGAGAGAGAGACGGCAATGAAGATCGCATCATTAATTGTCAACCTCGCATTAACCTGTTTTGGTGTTAAAACATAAAATTAAACCAAATATGTCGGGTAAGTCACGACGTAATAAAAGACTAGGTTGTGCAGCATTAGGTATTTGCAGGATGCAATTTTGTCGCAATTTTTTTGGATACAATTTTTTGAATGCAATTTTTTCACAAATTTTTTGCATGCAATTTTTTCACAAATTTTTTGCATGCAATTTTTATTTTATAACAAATTAAACACTTGGTTTTTGGTGGAGTAGTTATCAATGGAAAGCCCGATGTTTTAAAAAACCCAAGATTTCTGACATAATTTGACACATCCTTATTTTCAAAAATATTCTTTAAACAAAGTTTCTAGAATTTAGAAATGCAGTACAATTCTGAACACGTAGAACGTTGAAACTACTTGAAATCCCACCGGTGCAGCATCTATCAAGCCAGCAACTTGAGACGAGATGAGATTTTGAGTAAAGAGCTGTTAGTTTGTATCGCTATACTGTCCATACGTACGTACGGAAAAGTCTGGCTGATCCTGAGTCGGGAATTTGAGACTCGCCCGTAGTAAAAAGAGTCGGGACGATGAGACTTTTTGGCTCAGTAGTGTTCTGGGCACGGTATCATCACAAGCAGCCAAAGCACACACACACGCAGTGATCATTTACATACATCTACGACCAACGTGAGACAACGAGGAAATCTCACAGGAATCATCTTATAAAATAAAAATTTCAAATTTTGTGCACCTTGAAACTGTGAAAGTTTACCAATCTCACCTGGAAACCATGTCCTCATAATTCTTGAACTACCAAAAAATAAAATTCCAGCACGAAAATGCGTCCCTCTTCAAAGAAACAAGTGGAACCCGAGAAGCGGAAATTAGTCCCATCTTCCTCCCTCTCATCCTCCTCTGAACCTGATCACATCTCCTCCGAAGATGTCGACGACGACGAAGAAGAACTCGTCGTCCCTCATGACGCGGACCATGACCACGACTCCGATGACGATGACCACCACCACCACCTCCAGCATCGTCACCCCCACTCCACCCAAACGTCCGTGGACATGGGACGCTTCACCAACATGTTGGTAGAAGACTTGGAAATTATCGATACCATCGGTAAGTCAAACGTTCGAGATGTTTCTTCTTATCGAAATTTTCATCTTATCCGTCGCTACCTCCTCCTCATAAATAGGAGACAGATTCGCGTTAAACAAAAGTTTCTGCTTATCTAAATTTTCATCTTATCGTCGCTACCTCCTCCTCCGAGACACATTCGCATTAAATTAAATTATTTTCGTCATATCTTCCCCTCATTACTGCAAAAGCACACTGCTCCGTCCAAATTTGAGACAAGCCTTGCATTGTGTAATTATCATCTCAAGGATTTTATATCCCAGGAGTCAATCCGGTCACAACCCAGAATTCAGTGGCGAATTCTGCCTGTGACAATTCCACACTTGCCAAATTAACACTGAACTGTGTTCTTTGTCTCAACATTTTCTTTTCCTGAGTCGTCTTTCTTCTTGTCACGAAATTGAATTAATTTATGATTCTAGAAGAGAAAGAACAGCATGGATGGAACACATAAGGAAACATTGGCCCAAGTCGTGGTGTGATTGCGAAAGTGAGAAGAGGTGCCAAATCCCGACCAAAGTTTCGATATCGCGTGTTAATACCTTATCATCATGAGACGTATATGTATTTATACATAGTTACATCCCATTGTTTTACTTGGATAAAGTGCACAGATTGAGAAGATAAGAAATCCGTCTCGTGTTAGTTAGCTGGTCTAATTTTAGTTTAGAGATCTCTCCATAAAATTAAGGCCACGGTATACAAATAGTAAACCAAATTACGAAAAGGGCACGCTTCATAATAAAAATCCAGTCTGGTTTTTTGCTTACCTAACTAACGAAAGATAAATATGTATGTATCTAATTGTGTATATTTACGTTGGTTAGTTGGTCATGTAACAGACTACTTTTTTTACTCAGTTTTACGAGTGCATTGCTTTCCTGGCGATATGATGAGGGCACGTTTTGCATTTTCGGAAATGTCGTAAAAATATGAATGTACAGAGGAAAAAGTGTAAATAAAGAGGACGCGTAACACAAAAAATGAAGGGGGGTGATTCATTCCGGGGGTAATTTTAGGGTATTTTTCCCCTATTTTTATGAAACCGGTCTGGTCAGTAGATACAAAACTGAGTCAGAAATATAAACTGTACATAAGAAAAGAGTCGATTTATCATCTCGTAACCCAGAAATTTATAAATGTGTGTGTACATCTTTACTCTGAAAAGCTTATTTATTTATTTAAAGAAATTGCGAGTCTGTGTTTATGTTACCTAGTTCATTTTCATTTTATTATGCAAATTTTGCCTGTTATTATGTGAAGTACTTTGTTCTGTTGCATTACTCACTTTCACTCTTCTTAGAAAAATATAGGTTTCATCACTCAATAGACAAATGAAATGAATAAAGACGTTTTTTAGGCCGAACCAGGGCTTACGGAACCATCATGTCTGTACATCCGTTTATCCGTCATCTCATCTCGATAACTACATGCTTATCTGAAATTTTGCGTACTAGGTCAAAGTATCTATCGAAGAGTCGAGCCAATAAATCTGTATAGAAATTGAATCTTCCATGTGTCTCGGGCTTATCGAAGTTTCCAGATAGGTCGTCATATCTCTACAAATCAGTCAAATTAGTCATCAATACCGTGAAATGAACGGTTGTTCCTCCGCTGTTTAACTTTCGACGGGAACAAATTGGAATTAAGTTGGGCTCATTGCTCATACGTCGACTTGGAACAGATTTAGGCCACGAATGACGACACAGGGACAGAATTGACGGACAGATCCAGACCAGAACAAATCACACTGTTTAATTATCTTTAATATTATTTCATTATTGCTCAGACACAGACACAGACATTGTTTTGCCAAAAACAACAAGATTTTCAGCAGTCCGTGTAGAAAGAAGGGTGGAAATTCGTGACTCATGGGAGCGCAGATTTCTCATCGTCTGGAAGAATATACATCCGTCCGAGGGGACAAAAATCAATTTCATTTCCATCTTCATCTCCTCCTATGACCAGTGACCGCGGAAGCTGTGGGGACATCTCGGGACATTGTAGGCGATGGGGAGGGAGGGGTTTATAAAAGATGATGCTGACATCGAATAACCGTGGGGATATTGTCCCTCTGTCCCCACCCTTCCGCGGCCACTTATCTGCTAACTTATCTTACGTAATAAAGCAATGCTTCATCGTGACGATGACGAACAAGGCCCGTTTTCACTCTCGATCTCCGGTTCAAGTGGAGTCAGTGGAACATTAAATCTTATTTTATGACGAGTTTATACATTTCGTTTTTATTTACACCCTCATTTCCATCATATCGTTCTTTTTTGTGAAAGATTTTTAAAAGATTTTGTAAAAAAAAGTTGGGTTAAACACGTGTAAAGTCGTGGTCCAGATTAGCAATCCATCTGTTAAGCGTGTACGTATTTATGTGTGTGTGCGAATATTATGCTAATAGTGCAGATTTTTATACAAGAAGAAGAGTAATAGTTGGTCGGCTTGGCCAAGTAACTTTCAAAAATTAACTGGGTTACGTTCGTCACTCGTAAAAAATAAATCGGATCGTGTGTGTGTGCGGAAGTCGTGTAACCGTTTGAAGAGATTAGTACGGATAGTAAATAGTAAGTCATGTCATATAGAGAAAAAAAATGCAAACTTCATGCGTACATATATACATGGATCTGAAAGTTTCCAATTTGTCACGTTAAACTCTATAACACCTTATCAATCAATATATACAAAATCACAAATTGTATGTCCAATTTCAAATCTCATTTTTATTTGGCCTAATGCAGATAGTAATAATAATACTTGACACCAACATATACATATAACAATTTGCCAATATATCTACCAATATATATCTTGTTTCTCTTAAATTTATAAAAATCTGCAACTTTTCCAAAGGTACAAAAACAGGGTACATTATCAACCAATTATTTAAATCAATTCTACAAGATTTCAATAATAATAATTATATAATTATCACTTATATAATTTTCTTTATTTTCCTTCTAATTTATTTCTGTCATAATTTAAGCAATTATAAACAACCTAAGATACCACCAACAGCAATTATTTAATTTGCCTTTCTTTTCTATCATTTTCAACTTTCTAAAACTCACATCCAAATTTTTCACCTTACCTTATTCTTACTTAATAACTAGTGTAATAATATATCCTTATGTAATTCTGGACCACAATTTCTGGTCGTGCGGTGCATGCTGGTTATAATTATAATTTTACCTATTGTGAAAAGGGTAATAATAATTTGGGACATTACATCGCAACTCCTTTCATGTTAAAATAATCCTTATACGCCTTCTCCACCATCGTGTCCACCCTCTCGACTATACGCTGTCCCAATGCGTTTAATAAAATTTGCAGATGGCACTTCATGAGAGATTCGAGGGAATCGATCCCAACTTGTCTAACAGCACGGATAACTTTAAATGTATAAAAACACAAGAAAATTAATAAAGGTGTGAATTTATTTCAGGCATTATGGTTTTAATATGACTAAATACCTTCCCACTCCATCTTTATCTGTTTTTCTATCAAAATAATTAGTTATATAAATTATATGCAAATAAATTAAAGCTGCAAATGTAAAACAAATTTAGCTGCACTTACCTTCTTTTCTCCCGTGATCTTGGAAGTTATGGTAGTAATTCATCTCAAGAGCTAAATCCTGTTCAGCCATTAAGAAATTGAGTTTGGCCTTGTAGTAAGTCCTCTGCATTTCAACTTAAGGATTAATAAAATAAAATTAGATCTTTAATTTTATACAAAGCTATTTTAAATTACTTACTACTTTTTAGCGAATTCATTCTTGGAACTGGAGGTTGTTCCTGTGGCTATTTCAAGTATTTTTAAAAAATATTAACACAGCTAGTTCAGTTGCAAGTAACAGACTGATATGAAACTGAACTAATAAATCGTAGTTTTGTAAATTTACTTATAATCGTGAAGCCGTTTCAGATGCAAATTACAGATGATAAGAAGTTCATTCATTCTCATATGCATAAATACATTCTTACCCAAATTTCCTGTGGCCTGTTATGATGGCAAACCATGATTGACTTGATTTCCTCCAGCAAATTGTCCCAAGCTCTACACTTTACCACTCGAATGACGGCACAAGAATGCTAAATTTCTTGTGCTGCGAATGCATTAAATATTTGAAACGCTGCATTTGTACAATGGTGTCAATTTTTATTTATACACGCTTATTTATATCTGTACTTATGCATACTTAAGTAAGTACGTAGACAAATAGTGGATGGATATTTTAGTTTAAATTTGGAACAACCCTTTTTCCAAGAAGCTAATTTCATGCTGAGAGTGGTCACATTTTTTCATGCATAATTTAACGAGCTAAAATAAAACTACAAAAAGGAAACTGACCTCAAAATTGAAATGGGCCTACATTTTCTTTCTAAAAACTTGAAAGTATCCTTGTACGAATCAAATGCATTCATAATGCTGGGAAAAATTATGAAAGAAGCACAACTAAAAAAGGTTTGGTGTTGTGACGTAGTAGAAGAAATGCTCCTGTTACATATATGCATAACTTATCAATACAGGTGTAAAGATAATATTGAGTTCACGTCATGTTTCCGGTCTAAAGAAAGAAGCAAGTCTTCTCTAGAATGGTCTGGAGATCCGGATGATTTCGAGAGATATTTGTGGCCAAATCAGGCTCATATTAGTATTGCTAAAAAAGATAAATAACCATAAAACCACACCCACCACCACGTTTTAGAATTTCCCATCAATATCAAACAAAATGGTTAAACAAATCGTTACGCTTTCAACACGGGAGAAGAAATTATCTAATCTTAACAGTGGCCGCGGAAGCCGTGGGGACATTAACATTGTAGAATGGGGGAGGGAGGGGCTTATAAAAGATGGGCAGATGATGGGGACATCGAACAACCGTGAGGACATTGTCCCTCTGTCCGCACCCTTCCGCGGCCACTGATTATCCTAAGCCCACCTGCCACAAATACTGAAATGCAATATGTACATACACACACACGCGATACGTAAATATACACAAGCCCCCCACACATTCATAATTTTTTGTTACTTTATGCAACTACGAAGATTAAGTTGAAGTTAAATGTCACCTTTGCAACAACTGACTGAGAAAAAGAGCTTGGTTTATGTATATCTACGATTTTTGTGTTCATCATATTAAAAAATCTGACCCGACCCGAGACAAGTTTGTGGATACATTGCACCTCTCACTTAATATGGAGAAGGAGGGATCAAATCCTATTTATTTAGTAATCGCACTAGGCTAAAAATAACGTTTAAATTCTCTACTCTACTTTCTACATCGCATTTTCATTCTACATACATACACCAGCAACAAGTAATAAATTCCAATTTGTGCTAAGTACACGGAATAGTTGTTGTTCCGATCTTGGATGATTCCAGCCTCGAGATGATTCCATACGAGATAATTGTAATTTGATGGAAGACATATGCATGCATCTGGTTGCAGTGGCCGCGAAAGCTGTGGGGACATCAGGGGACATTAACATTGTAGGATGGCGGAGGGAGGGGGTTATATAAGATGGGGACATCGAACAACCGTGGGGACATTGTCCCTCTGTCCACACACTTCCTTCCGCGGCCACTGTCTCTCCTTGGAAGAAGAAAGTATTTCCTAAAAATGTAGGAATTTAGGTATCTATTTTTCCACAATGTCACAGCCAAGGAGAAAGAAAAGTGTGGATGTGTCCCTCGTCTGTAAAAATGTGCACATGGATAATCGATTCCTTCCTAACTTATCCTCAGTCAGTATTGACAGCATTGTCTCGAAAAAATGGGTTGGATTACTTACTCCTTGCCCACTTTATTTTTCAAGGTTTATTACTGGGCGGAAATACTAAAGCGGACGGACGGAGACCTTGTTACAAAATACTAATGGTTTTGAACAATAAACAAAAACATTAAAAAAAACAATAAAAAAGCCTGTATTTTCCCAACTCCTCGGCGGTAGGTTTGTGTCGAAAAGTGGAAAAATCTGTCGAAAAAATCACTGGGAGATTTCTGTTTAATGGGGGACATGACATTGAAACAGGATTTTTGTTTGCATAAAATACAAGTGCAAATTGCTTCTGCACAATTAGACGACATTCTCACGTCAGTCATTTTCTTCCGAGCGAATATCCATTTGTGAGGCAGTGGCCGCTGAAGGTGTGGGGACATCGGGGGACATTGCCATTGTAGGATGGGGGAGGGAGGGGTTTGTATAAGATGGGGACATCGAATACCCGTGGGGACATTGTCCCCACACTTCCGCGGCCACTGGTGTGAGAAGAAAGTCAAGCGAGATGATGGATGCATGTCAGTCAGTCGATCATCAACGTTAGATTTGCATCATATATTTTTTTATGCTATACATAATTCGAACAAGGTCTGGTTCATCTTATCGCGAAAATCTTGGTTAATTTTGGGTTTTTTAGCTGCATAAATATACTGTCAAGCGTGAAATGTGACCTCATTTTGCGGAGTAAATGAGACTAGTGATATTTTTGAGGAGATGAAATATACAGATTTTAACGGAAGCAGTTTTGGTTTCAGGAAGGTTTAAAATCGGGGCTGGTGGCAGCCAGATAATTAAGGAAAAAGTGGATAAATCATGTTTTTTGACACGTTTGGCCATGAAAGTTGGACTAGATTGGAAAAAATTAGTAAAATCGGGATTATACATTAGATATTAGGATTGAAATTATTGGAAATTCGTACCAGACAGCCTGGGAGGAGGTGGAGGAGGTGGGTGATGATGATCTAATGGAATCGACACTTCGTAGAATTTATTTCAATTTATAAGACTCGTGAAAACAGTGGCCGCGGAAGCCGTGGGGGACATCTGGGGACATTAACATTGTAGGATAGGGGAGGGACGGGTTTATATAAGATGGGAAGATGATGCGGACATCGAACAACCGTCGGGACATTGTCCCCACACTTCTGCGGCCACTGCCGTGAAAATGAAAATCACACCGATGTCTTGTCAACTCACAATTATCTATGTAGCTAAACCAAGAAACAGCCTAAAATTAAATACTGTGGGGCGATGTCTCCACCGATTTATTAAGATTTGATCACTTCAGTTAGTTGCAATTTAGTGCAATGCTTAATGCGAATGATAAGATGGAATTGTGCCAATTTTGTGATATCTTACTTATTCTTGACGGATAAAATAAAATGGTGGTTAGTTGAGATTTTTGGCTAGGTTTTAATGCTTCGTGTACATATGGTGTGACCCTGATTTATGTACGAGAAACATTTTATTTTACACAATTTCCTTAAAATTTGTCGTTTTATTTACGAGTGCTATTCCGTGATCGTGAACCTTGTCATTGCACAAGGTGGTGGAAAACGAGAAAATATCAGGTTTGCGAATTTAGATTGGGGAGAAAAAAAATCCTTATTTTTACAGACTTTTGATATATTTATTATTTCAATTCGTGGGCTGTTTCTCCAAAAAACGCTCTGCTCTGGGAACAAAACTGTTTGTTTAATTCTCATCAAAATGCAAAAAAAGTACGGGAATGATGCGGAAAAAATATAAAATTCGATTCTCCGCTAAATGGGAAATCTTGTCTGTGTTCTCTCGAAAATAAAGCTTGGTCCGGAAATTGGCACATTGTCAGCGTCGTTCTCACGCATTGCTTTATCGAAACTCCATATGCAGTTTAGCTCAAAGTTTAACAATAACAAAATTATTTTGGATTTAGACTCTGCTTGCTGCTAAACGTTCCGAGGTTGGTAACCTTCACGTCATGTTTCACGATTAATTAGCAAACAGAACAGGGAACGTTGGCGAACATAAACATGCATGACATGGCAGAAGAAGTTTGCCACAGTCATTACCATATGCAAATTAGTTACATAAAAAACATGGTGAAAGTTGGTGAAAGCGAAAATAATAATATTTACCCCGTGCCCAGAGGGAGGCAGAGATGACTGGCGTGTGTTTGTAGTCAGTGGCCGCGGAAGGGTGTGGACAGGGGGACAGTGTCCCCACGGTTATTCGATGTCCGCATCATCTCCCCATCTTATATAAACCCCTCCCTCCCCCATCCTGCAATGTTAATGTCCCCACAGCTTCCGCGGCCACTGTTTGTAGTGTTAGCTTTTTACCCTGAATTTGAGCCCATGTTATCGTATGGTTTCCATCATATTTCAAAATTTTTATCCTTGAGTCATATTAAAATCGTGGTCTGGTGAGTGAATGATACCCAAACGCTCATTTTTTTCTCAGAAAGTACATTACGCCCAATTTATTATTTTGCATATCCAATTTTTCGCCACAACTAAAAAAAATTGCGACACTCGTCTGCTCACAGGAAATTAAGGTCCCATAACGCAAAAAAAGATCTTGTTATTTATTAATAAGCCGCGGAGTAGACGAAAAGGTAGCAGGTTTCCGCCTGCGAGGGGTACATATCATATTCCAATTACCAACTTTATGACGATAACGCCGAGCCGAAACCGGGGTCGAAATCCAATTAGGAAAATGTTCTCTGATTTTGAATGATGCGAATCCATTTAGATTTTTTGTAACTCTTCAGAGAGGAATCGCAGTCGGCTTGTCTCCTTGGCCAAGTAGGTTAAATTTAATGCTCATAAATAAATCTTGCGAAAGTTATGTGTGCGAAAATCAGTCGTGGTGGTAAGTATGACGACTTACCAAGCCAAAAAACTAGTCACACATGACATGACACACAGGGGAAGAGGGGAAAAAAATCCGTTTCCCTGTTCCAAATAAATAAGGATTGACGTGGACATGAGGATATGGTTTAGTGTGTTAAAAGGGGAGGAGAGGAAATGAGTCATAAAAAATTATGCGTCAAGATTTCTGGGGGAAAAATGACATTTTTTGGGAGGAGACGACGAGTCATAAAATGAGTCATGAAAAAATAATGCGTCAAAATTTCTGAGGAAAAATTACATTTTTTTTGTTCGTTTGTCTACAGGGGTTGGATCCTTCGGAAAAGTGGTGTTGTCCCATGACGTGGAAACTGGGGAATATTACGCCCTCAAAGTGCTCTCATTTTTCGACATCTTGCACGCCAAGCAGACCGACCATGTGAGAAATGAGAGGGACATGCTCCTCGCCGTGAGGGGACATCCCTTCATTGTGGACTTGTAAGTGGGGAATTTTGGAGGAAATTAAAATTTTGAAAAAAAAATTATAATTTATGTTTTTGGGACAGAAAATGGTACGGGAAGGACACGTATAATGTTTACTTCCTCATGGAATTCGCAGCAGGAGGGGAATTGTATTCGTATCTTCACAAAGCGGGACAGTTCTCGCCGGAAACTTGTATGTAACTTTTTTAAGTTTCCTAAAAAAAAATTAGAAATTTAGATTTAAAAAAAATATTTCTTTGATTTTTAGGTGCTTTCTACGCCGCCGAGATTGTATGCGCATTGGATTTTATGCACGCGAATGACATCGCACATAGAGACTTGAAGCCTGAAAACCTTCTCTTGGATCAAGACGGCCACTTAAAAATTACGGATTTCGGGTTTGCCAAACAGTTTGAGGAACGGTGCGAGAATTTTGATTTCATTGAATTTTAAAATTTTAAAAATTTTGATTTTAAAAATTTTATCACCAGTATTTTTACAAATTTTATATATGAAATTGTAGAACAAGGAGTGTTTGCGGCACGCCGGAATATTTAGCCCCAGAAATTATCGAGGGGACGAGTTACACCAAGTCGGTGGACTGGTGGGCGTTAGGTAATAATTTTTATTAGGGTTTATTGCAACTTGCAATAAATAAATTATTGCAATTTTTATGAATTTGTATAGGTGTCCTCATGTACGAAATGCTTACGGGAAATTCGCCCTTCCGTGGTAAAGGGAGAGATCGACAAGCCACGTACGACAAGATTTTATGTGGTGTCGTCAAGTTTCCGAAAGAAGTGGATCCCGTGTGCAAAAACTTTGTGAAAAAGTTGCTCGTCCGGCAAGAAGTTAGACTGGGTTCAAAGGTGGGTAGATTACTGAATATTAAAAATTTGGCAAAAATTAGTTTACATTTTGCAAAAATTTGTTTAAATTTTGCAAAAATTAATATCTAATCAATTTCGCATTTAGAGCGGCGCTGACGAGATAAAGAGTCACAAAATCTTCCTGCAATTCGACTGGGATCAAGTATACCAGAGATTATTGGTGGTATGTGAAAGTTGCAAATATTTTGCAAAAAAAAATTCGCATAATAATTTGATGATTTCTTGTCTAGCCACCCATCATTCCAAGCGTCTTTTTTCCCGGTGATACCGGAAATTTCTGCAAGTATCCCGATTCATGGAGTGTGCACCCCGTCTCGTCGCAACAACAGAGAATTTTTGCAGATTTTTGATTCTACTCGGAAGTGGAGAAACTATTATTGCGATGAAAGCATGGCATTGTTGCATCGCTCCCATTCCATGAAGTTGATAAGTACTTATCTACATATACACATTCATGTGTATATTCATGTGTGTCACATGAATCGATGTATCGTTTTAAAGAATATTTAAATATCGCATTCATTTTTCTGAAGGCGTCGACGAAATTTTTATTTTATCAAAGATCTCACTGGTCCAAAAATATTATTGATGCGAATGTCGTTACATACAAAAAATTGGTAAAATTTCTGCCAATTATTACTGAATACTGCGAGATTTACGGGCATAATCGGTTTAAGAATTTGTTTTTAACTTAACAAAGTGAAAAGCAAAGTGTTTTGTACTGTTGTAAATAAAAATGTGTTAAAATCTGCAATTAATTAATTCAAGCTGGCTTTTTTCATGATGAATAAAAAACAACAAGACTTGTACCTAATTTGAGGTCGTAAAATAATTTTTAAGAAATATAAATAGTTAAATATTTATGATTAAACTTCTCCAATTTACATATTTAGATAGTTTCAAGGATTAAATAAATTTTTAGATTATTGTTCCCGTTTAAGATTATAAATAGTCATAAAATTCAGAGAGACTTATTGTTGTTTTTAGTGTAATTTATCCCTCTTGTCCACTAGAAAATAAGTAACGTAATAAAAATCGTAAAAAACTGTGATTTCTACGTATTTATTTCAAAAATTATTTTGAATTGCATTGTATTTTTCAGAAATGTTTTGGCAATGTACTTGCTACACCCGTGCATTAGTACCTACTAATCTGACAAAATTGCAAGTCCAAATATTTACACGATTTTTAGTTTCACTCTGATTCAATGTAGACAGGAAAGATTGAGGGCAATCAAATCCCCATGCAGCGAGACAATCGGTTCCATTGTTTTACAAATATTTTTACAAACTAATGTGTAACAATAAAAGAGGCACATTTTTCGTACCGCTAATGCAGTGACATGTCAGAAGACAGGACGGATTGTAATTAAGCCCATGTTGGCAGATCCGTCTGGATAAGAACGTGACGATTTTCTACTCGACTAAAGTCATGGCGTCGTCCCGACTGTGGGCATGTGCCTTATTTTGTGGTACCATAGCAAATTCAGTAGTTATCATGCAATTAAATCGGTTACTTGAAGAATAACTCTTTCCAGGATTGATATCACTAACGGAGGCAAGAAGTAGTGCACACAAGGTTTCGTCGCCAGGTGGGACACAACAAATTAGATTTTTTTGACAGAATTGTACCGTTTTCTTGTCTTTTTTTAAGCGAAACGAGAGTATGGCACCGCGGAAGGGCTGCTGGCCTCCGCCGCGATAGAATCCATCCTTGAAACACCACAAATTAAGTCATTTCTCGACCCGGCGAAAGTAAAGTCCGCTTTGGACAATGAAATGGTCATGGCAGCAACGCCGGAAGCGATCGAAGCCATCTTTGCCGCTCCCGTGATCAAAGCGCTCCTCACGCAGGAAATGTTCACAGCCTTTTTGGGGAGCAAGTTTCTCAAAGAATTTGTAATTAATTACGGATGATAAAAAATGAATTTTAGATTTCAAAATTCTGGAAATTTTGGAAATCCTGAGTTATTTATTTAATTTTCATAGGTAACTCCGGACACGATATCCGCCTTGCTTAACGCTGAACCCCTCGCTGCCCTCACAACGGCTGAGAATCTCAAAAAGAGTGCAGATTTTACGCAGATTTTGTCCCCCGAAGTTCTAACGGCGATCCTGAACTCGAAAACGGTAAAGAATTTGTTGACCCCGGAAGGCGTCGGGATCATTCTCAACAGTCCTGGACTTGTCGCTGCGTTTTCGCCGAAGACGATTGAAACCGTCCTCGCCACGGATTCGGTCAAGGGCATGTTATCGCCGGAGCTGGTGTCACAGTGAGTGAGGTCGTGGATTATGTAAATTTGGTCAGATTTTGTAATATGAATTTTTTGCATAGGGTTGTGAACAGCGGTGTTTTTAAGGCAGCCTTGAATCCGGAAGCGTTAAAGGTTCTGTTGAAAAATGAAGACATGAAAAAATTAGTGTCGCCCGCATCGCTAAAAATAATCATGGAGAGTCCCGTCATTGCGGAAGCGGTGAAGTCGTCGGGTGATTTAATTGCGGGTTTGATAACGCCCGAGATGGCGAAGGATGTCTTCAACTCGAAAATATTGACGGATTTGTTAACTCCGGACACGGTAATTAAGATAATGATGGGTACATAAATTGATAACCTGTTTGCCTGCTTATCTTACTCTCCAGGTGAAGAAAGTCCTGGATAATACCATAATTAAGAAAATTCTTGACCCCAAACTTTTCCAAGCCGTGTTGACCTCGTCCTCTGCGAAAGGTTCCGGAGATTAATTAAATTAAATTGTTTATTTGATTTAATTTAATTAAATTTGATTATTTAATTAAGGGTTCCTTGTTCCTGAGACGTTCAATACACTTTTAGCGAGCAAAGAGCTCCAATCATTCCTCGCTCCGGATATCATGGATAGTTTGCTAAAAAGTCAGGCTTTGAAGAGTGAGTAAAATTTGTTTGTAAATAAAATGACCCAGGTTGATGAATGACCTTGACTTTAATCTGACCTTGATTGATAGCTCTCCTGGCCCCGGAATCTATAAGGGATTACATGAACAGCAAAGTAGCCGTGGCCGCGTCCAATCCTGATTCATTGGGACGTATTTTAAACTCTGACCTGGTCGCGGATATCTTCACACCGAAAGCCGTCAAGTTACTGTTGGACACAAAAGTTTCGAAAACGGTGAGTATCTGGGTTCCGGGAGAGTTGTCGACATTGGTCGACAAACAACTGGTGGCTTATCTCAACTGGTCGACAGGATATTGATCGACACGGCATATCGGTACCCCTACGGAAAGCCACCTACCTACCAAAAATTAGTCGACTAGTTGTTTGTCGACCAATCAGGTGTCGACGAGACGTTTGTCGACCACTCGACACTTTTAAGAGTTTGGAATTTAAAAACACTAAACATTCATGTCCTTCAGGTCATGTCGATGGACACAATTCGAACCATCCTGGACTCCAAAACGGCTAAAAATGCCCTCTCTTCCGACTCATTGCACGCCCTTATCGACTCCTCCGTGGCCAAGGAGCTCTACACGACGAAACATGTCGTCGAAATTTTGAACAATGACATCCTCGCGGGCGCCGTGTCGCTTCCGAATTTAAAATATTTAATGAACTCTGACCTCGGAACGAAACTCTTTGATGGGGATTCACTCGATAAGATTGTGAGCACGAAAGTGTTGATGAACGTTTTGCATCCGGAAACCTTTGGACCGATTATTCTCAAGATTGCGCAACACAGGGTGGAGTCCGGGGTGGGAGAGGTGTTGGGTGGGTTGAAGAAGATGAGTGGTGGTGGTGAGGAAAGTGGGAGTGGTCACAAGAAGAAGGGGAAAAGTGAAGGGGGAGGAGGGATTGGAATAGGGAGAGGTTTCGGGGCACTGGAAGATGTCACTGGTTTGTTGGGATGATGTGAAAATAAATTATTTTACAGAGAAAAAATTGTGTTAGCATCTTAATTTATGAAGTAGCTTCGGCTACTTTATGTGAAGCCTTTGTCCGTCCGTCCGTCCGTCTGTCTGTCTGTCGGATAACGGGAGAACCGATCGAGATAATCGAAATCGGTTTGCGGCATCATATACATGTCCCCAGGGGGAGGATCGTATCAACTTTGTGGGGTCAATTGGCCCCCCTCGAGGTCAGGGGGTATGGTCCCATATTATTTGGGTTTCACCTATTGCTACATTTCGTTGCTACTTTACGTTTATTTAATCCGACGACGTCAACTTTTCTGAATCTGGAGTAAACTAGCTGGTAGTAGAGTTTGACTTTAATCTGGAAATAAATAATGTACTTAGATTCTATTTCGTCACTGAAACCGGAGTGCGATTTCAGAGTAAAAGATGTTCTTACGAGAGAGATGAGATGATTCCATCGCCACGTTTTACACATTTCTCGCTATGACGAGACTACTACAGATTACATATATCTGTATACATATTATGCATAAGCAGTGCTTGCTGGTGGCAGATGGGATTTCTTGCTCTCATGTCATCTTCTTGTTTTGCATTCATTTTCATCTTCATGATGATGCTACAGAAGAAATGCATAAAAGGGTTGAGAATCTTGTCCGTGTCTCTCAGTCACTAACTTTGTGCATGAGACGGCAGCTATTCATTTATGAGATTATGAGAGGAGGCAAGTTGAGATTTTTGCAATACTGAATTTTGGACAGAAGTATAATAATTTCATTTGGAAATTTTTTTGAGATATTTTTGAAATTGTGAACAAGTTGATAAGCAGAAGAAGAAAGTTAGCGAATTTTTAAATAAAGTCAAATTATTGAAGTAAATAATTTTGAGGACCCGAAAATCAGGACGGAGTCGGAGTTATTAACGGTAAGAAAAATCAGATCGATAACTACATATCTTGTAAAATTATTCATATCAAAATCTGATTTTTTTTCAAATTCCGAATTTCAAAATTTCAAATTTTTTTTTTTCAGATGCGTCAGTCAATCTCTGAAGAAGACATGGTCGGCGTTGGTGGTGGTGGTGGTTGCGGCGGGGTGTCCGGCCTTCGTCGCCCCGTGACCGTGGACGATGTCGCCGTCTCGGAGGCGGATGGCGACAAAGAAAACGAAGAACAAGAGGACGAGGAGGAAGAAGAAGAAAACGATGAAAATGACGAAGAAGAAGAAGAAAACTCCACCACCAATAACGCAACATCGTTCACTTTTACGGTGAGGAACTCTCCAGCGAGGGGGCTTCATCCCCGGAATTCGCCGACACCTCCACCCCCCACCACGAACCATCACAATAACAATAATGTGAAGGAGGAGAACAACAAGAACAAGAACAGTACCGTCGTCGCCACGACGAGAATCGGGAGGAATAGGAAAGTCGGGGCGAAAACGAAGGAAGAGTGTGACGCCATGTTGGATAATTTGGAACTTCTTAAAACAATTGGTAAGTAAAAGATTTCATTTGAGTAGCTGTCAGATTTCTGCATTATTGCGAATGTAAAATTTTCGTAATTCTTGGAAATTCCGGTCAATTGATTTGCGAATGATATCAGAGATATTTTTTGCATCATAGCGAATATGAAATATCTTGCAAGTCTTGTCAATTGATTTGCGAATGGTATCACAGATGTTTTTTGCGTCAAATATGAAATTTCCTGCATTTCTTGGAAGATCCTGTCAATTGATTTGCGAATGATATCAGATATTTTTTGCATTATGGCGAATATGAAATTTTCAACATTTCTTGGAAGATCCTGTCAATTGATTTGCGAATGATATCAGATATTTTTTGCATTATGGCGAATATGAAATTTTCAACATTTCTTGGAAGATCCTGTCAATTTATTCATTAAACAATCGATAAGTAAAGGATTGGTTTCTAATTTTCGAGAATATCAATTTTTTGCAGTGTTGCAAATTTCTTGGAAATTCCTGTCAATTTGATTACCAATGATATCACACATCGCGTCGTAGATTAGATTCATATCACGAATTAGCATCACTACATATTGTCATCATCTTCAATACTCTGGTTCCTGGTAGCATATTTTTTTCCAACTTGGTAAATAAAACCAATTGTTGAATTGTTTGCCCTATTTTGCTCATTTTGTTTGATTCAACTTGGTCACATCACAATTGAATGTGCTGGGTGGACAGTTACTTGGGTTGGATCAAGTTGAACCCTATTGTCCAGTTGGACAGGTCATTTGTCATTTTCATAAAATTCTCTTTGTACTAATAACGTGCGATGTTGAGTCATTAATAATTTCCGTGTAGAGTAGGTGCAGGCAGCCATGTGGGTGGATATGTATAAGATTTTGTGACAATACTTAATGTGTAGCTAACTGTCCAGCCAAATTGTTCATAAATTCCAGTTAGTTCTTCTTTTATTCGCAGTTTGCCAACTTATTAAGTTTACAAATTCCTTACTTTATTAGCTGTAAATGTGGTGTGGCGTGGTTGTAACTGTTTTGGCAGAGATTGACCATACATTTTGTCTCTGTATAGATTTTAGAGACACTGACTCGACATTTATCTCGTATTCATATCCAGTGGCTGCGGAAGGTTGAGGGGACAGAGGTGCAATGTCCCCACGGTTGTTCGATGTCCGCATCATCTCCCCATCTTATATAAACCCCTCCCTCCCCTATCCTACAATGTTAATGTCCCCACAGCTTCCGCGGCCACTGTTCACACCACGTAAGAAAAATGGGATCATCGTTTTCTTATTATGATTTTGGTAAAGTCATCCCGAGACATTTTTGGGATGGATTACACTCCATTAATATTTTGCACTGTTCTGTGGTCTGGTAACGACAACCACCAAATAGGACTACGAACCACCAATTGTACTAATCCGTTCTACTCCATTCTCGTCAAAAAAGATGAGACGAGAACAATGAGAGAGACTACTTAAAATAAAATTTGCATTTTTGCCATAAAATTCTCAACGAGAATCTCGTCATCGAATTTCTTTTTAAAGAATGATGAAAAAATCATCCGTATTGCTTCTTAAAAATGGAAATATGTAGGATGACGATGACCAGAAATAGTTTTCTAGAGATTCGTCATACTTACGAAAAAAAACTACTAAAAATTTCATATTTCCATTTATTTCTTTGTTTTTCTACTGACACAACCTACTCAGAATTATAATTCCAAACGTCAAAATTATGAATGACGAATGTCTAATGTAAAAACAACGTTTTCTTTCACTTTATTTTCTTAATGATGATACAACAACCTACTCAGAAATCGGTTTAAAAATAAAATCCAAAATTTCAAAAATTTAATGACCCACCAAACCCATCACTATTTTTTGCGAACTTTAACCTACCGCACGATTTCTTTCTTTGTCCTCTTCCACCCACACTAAAAACAAAACGAAGTTGTAAAAAAAAAATAAAAAATAAAAATCTTCATCTTCTTATCGCATCGTTTAAAATCGCAAAAAAAATCTTGCCCTTCACTCCGTCTCGTGTGTTTTGCCTTCGTCCTCGTCGTCGTCATACGTATTTTATGGGAGTTGAAGAAATGAAAAGCGTTTATTAATAGCATTCTTCGGGCATTGAAGTCTTCTTCGTGGGGAGAAAAAAGCTATTAAAAAAACAGCGTATTGTTTATGAGATGGGAGTAAGAAGACTGCTAAAAATACGACATTATACAACTCTTCTTCTTGGCGATCGCATAAATAAAATAAAAAAAACCTCGGAAAATAACATTCACCCACCACAAGAAATGAAATATGATGGGATCCAAATGTCACACATGTAATGATGGCCATTAAGCGTAATTATAATTAAGTTTGGGCCATGTTATGTGATCGTGACGTAAGTAAAGTAAATCGTACATAATTGATGACACTACTGGCACAATGAGGATTATTGTTGTGTAAATAAGTAATGAGTGTCGTCTAAAAACAAAAATATTGTCGTAGTCGCAGCAGTTGTCGTGGTGTGTGCAGTGGCCGCGGAAGCTTGGGAGGGGACAGAGGGGCAATGTCCCCACGGTTGTTCGATGTCCGCATCATCTTCCCATATTATATAAACCCGTCCCTCCCCTATCCGGCAATGTTAATGTCCCCACATGTCCCCACGGCTTCCGCGGCCACTGGTCGTGTGTGTAATTGCGAAGCGAATTTTTTTTCAAGGATGAAATGGATAAATGATATTTCCGCTCATATTTTATTTTATGCTTGGAGAAATGACACCGCTAATCCTGCAAAAGTGGAGTGGAGTGGATTGGATAAGCTGGCCGAGTTGAGAGATAAATTTGCATAATGTGCGAAAATGAAATCTCTGGCGGAGTGAAAGTCTTCAAAAATTTTATTTTTACGAGGTGCAAATTGCAAAGGAAAACAATCTTTGTGTGTGAGACGATGTGCCGATGAGCTGTAAATATGTGAATATGTATGTATGCAAATAACTTTTTCGCGGATGGAAAGATTTGCTCTTTGAAAATTTGCGAGCGTAATTTTTTTGCATGTTTTTATTTATACATACGCAGTAAGAAGAAGACAAAGAAGAACTAACTAAATGATAGGTTTTTAAAGTTATTGTCTTTTTCGGATGGCTGTAGGCCAAATTGGGGGCAATTAGTGTTCGCAAGATGCAAGCGTGCAATAATGGGATGGCGAGAAGCAAATTGCCCATTAAGTTTGTATGTACTTAATGAATTCCATGTCGCATAATGAATAATCACAATTAGAAGGTCGATATGGGGAAGAAAGTTGCGAATTTTTTTTGCACAAATTATTTATCTATTATTGGGAACCTTGTACGTATTTCGTTCTTTTTTTTAAGTCTGGGATTATTAAGGTGGACGTGGACGGGAATTATTTACTGGCTGGACCATGATCCGTATGTGACCTGATCCCATTTAAATGGTTTCATGTTGACTTTTTCTTTTTCCATGATGATGATGAACCATGACCCAGATTGTAAATATATCTGTGTGTATCATTTTTTTGCACGCATCTGGTCTGGGTGGATTGGTGGATTATTCGGTGTGTGTGGTGTAAAAATGTGTCGGATGCCGGTGCGGTGGTGTCGTATAATTTTTGGATTAAATGTGACTGAAATTGTGGGGTAAGTGAGAGGGTCAAGATTTATGGGGGCCGCAAGATAAGTAAAAAAAATTGAGAAAAATTAGATTTTTTAAATAAAAAAGATTCACTATCTAGATTTGCTATATTTCAACGCTGTTTATTTATATTTGTGGATGCCGTAATTTGAAGAAATTTCCAGATAGCGCTTCAAAACACATTAATTTTTTTTAATCGGTTCACAAATGTAATTTGATTTTTTTAATTTCAAAATTTGTCTACTTTAACTTTCTGGAACAATTTGACCTCCAAATTTTCTGAAATTAAAATATGACCCTAAAATCTAAATCCCTCACGGTAAAACCACCCCCACCACACAGATACAGCGCTTATCCATATTTTGATATCTACTAATCCTCCTCCTCCAAATGTGTAACTACTTAATAACAACTTTCTTACTCTTTCCATCATCTGGTGAGATACATATATTTTGGCCCATTTTCAACCTCGTGTCGTACTTACTTACTTATGTAAAGTATTAATAGAATACGTACTTTATTTATGCATACAAAGTGTTGCTTTGCTGCTCGGTTTTCCCCCGTATGCATGATAACCCTATAAACATTAGAATGACGGATTTATTGGGATTTCCATCGCACTAAACTTCACCCCAAATTACGATGCACGCCAAGTCCAAAGTTACATAAACTTGTCGCATGGGTCCAATCCGATCCAATCCACTTAACTTTCAAACCGGAAGCTTAAAAACAGTATGCTTCGTTGGCTGACATAATGTTGTTCTTTAAAAAAAATATATATATATTTTTTGAGAAGTCTACTGAACCGGGATCAGATCAACTCTTTGGATTTTTTCATATTATTGGGAATGAGATCATATTATTTTTCTTGCGGTTCCATGTTTCTGAGAAATTTTCCCTTTGACAGGTTGATATTTTTAACTGAAAAGCGTAATAATTTCTGACTTTTTTCCCCCAAATGTGACATGAGGGAGAATAAGTTATGAATTTTTTTATAGATGTACCAAGCCAAATTATTTTATAGTCGGGTGGTTAGTTAGTTAGTTAGTTGCCACGCAGTCTGGTCTGGTCGGACGGCATCGTTGCGACATGATATCATCATCGTCAAAAGACAACTTTTTAAGATAATATGGACAAAAGTTGTATATGGAAAATGGAAATTAAAAATGGCGACAGATTCACATTAGTCATGTCGTACATACAAATGTGTCAACTTTTATACGTGTCTGGTCTACTGAGCAGCAGGCTGTGGACAGGATACGATTCGGTGAAAATGTTGCACAAAAATAAGACGACTGTTTCCAATAAAGAATGATTCCCGTCGGGAAATGGAGATATTTTTGTGGGTGCAAAGTATATGTA